TGCATGTTTTTTCATTGACATCATGTATTTTTTTCCCACATACCCATATACCTTAATATGGTATATGGTACTTTTTATTATGGCCTTAAAAGATGAGGCTAAGTTACATTCATGAAAAGGTACATGTAATGCCTTAAATATCAAATTATAAATGAATGGGATGTCAAAATTTTCAACTTCCAATTGACAATGCTTTATTGTTGCTTTACTTGTCCATTTAATGTATTCTTCTGAAAAGGGAAACAATTTAATTAAGGGATTTAAGAACTCTCTCAGAATTGGACCACTGAAAGACAAAATGACCTTGACCTGAGTTAGCATGCAGACAGGTAATGGAGTGAACCTGTATCAGGAGCTGTGATGTATGTTATCATTATGAAATAGACATCATCATAAACTGTTTCCTTTGTACAAATTATTGTACTAATTACTGCAGAGAAAACTTCATAATCTGTTGTCATCTTCAGTTGGTAATGAATCATTCATGATGTACTTTGAGGCTCAGCAAAGGGGTCACTTCTGTATAAATTATGGTTTGATTGAATAAAGAACCATTGAAACAATGATTGCATTAGTGATATCTGAATACACAGTACACCGTAAATGAATCCCTTCAAATATTACATGTATATTACCTTCTTACTAAATGCTCTTAAAACTTCAGAGGATAAATGTTTGACCTTTTACCGTTTTGGAACTAGTCATTCAGATATTTGCATTGGAATACTTTCAAAAGGATCCCCCTAAAATTTTGTGTTCATGCTGATAATTCTGTTATATATATTGTGTGCATGTAAAATGTTTTAGCTGAAACTATATCAAAAACGTTATCAGACTTAGATTTAAACTGCTCTGATAAACACTTTCTGAAAAGTTTAATAATATCTCAGTTGTGTACCCAGGAAAAGGGGAGAAATTAAAGGGGAGGGGTGTTGAATCATCAGAAAAATTGACTAAATAATACAAATATTTTGGGTCTTGGCATTAAGGGATGGGGGCATGTTCCCCCTATACTCCCCTATATCTAGATGAACAATGTAAATGCAAGATTGAAAACATTTTAAGTGGTACTACACATGTTCATTGAATTGAATGTGTAACTAGTAACTACAAATGGTGATGATCTACTCATATTTATACAAAATTTGATGTCGGTGTCATATGTTTTGATCAATACAGCCTTGAATGGAGTCACAGAATTCTGGTCTGAGTTTCTAAGAACAAATGTCATTCTGTAATTAAGACATTGAACAAGTTGAACATGCCTTTAATCTTGTTTATGAAGCTACTTTATTGAATCTGTTTGGAGGTGTACTGATTGATATTCTAGTTTATTAAAATGTTGAAGATTTATTATTTAAATTTGAGTTTTGAACAAACTCTTCATGAATTACAAGTTCTCTAATATAAGGTTGGTTCTTATTTGCTTTTCAATTAATGTTATTCATAGTTTGATTAGGTCCTTGTCCTCCCTATCACAGCTTTATACAGTGGTCTGTAAATGTGTAGGCTAATGGTTTCAGTTATTTCAGTAAATAGATAAATAAAACATGTCATATAAACAGAATGTAATGAGAGTAAGTTTAAGTTGAAAGGATTTCCTTTCATTCAAGTATGCATTATGATTATAAATCATAAGGTTTGTAAATAATTTCTCCTTAGGGAGCCTTAGTTATTACTTGTTATGAGAGGAAGCCATCTATCTGTTAAACAGGAAATGTTACGCTCAAATCACAATGAAAGGAAAATATTTTAAACCTGAATAGTAAATAGTTACCCATAATCATGCAACTAAATTATTTATATTGATTTTCATTTTAAAATATTTACGGAAAACCCTTAAGGCTGAAATATTGTGTTTGTTTAAATATCTTTTGAAACTTCCTGATGTGCTGCACATCTGCTTCATGGGACATTTATTCTTTATGTATAGGATTTAAAATTTAGTTATTTGTTTACTCGAAAATATATAGATAAAAGCTGTCCATGCCGCGATCATACATAAAATTACAATAGGGTTGAATATTATTGTGACCTTTTACCTCACTTGACTTCCATTGACTGTCTGTCAGTCTGTCTGAAATTATACATTTTCTAAATTGCACTCTCTCTCTCTCTCTCTCTCTCTCTCATTCATAAACAACTAGGCTAGTTATACCCCTCAATACAAAACTAGTACAAGGGGTGTGTAGTTGTTGACCTGTTAGTCTGTCCGTCAGTCATATTCGTTTCCAGTCGCTAGCACCAATACTTTAGATCAGATTGCAACCATACTTGGATATATGGTCATATATAATGAGAGGAAGACTCCTTGTGATTTTGAGGTCACTACATTTAAGGTCAAGGTCATACCTACTTAAATAGACTAAAATTTATTGCAGAAAAGGGGTTTCCAGATACTGAATCAAATACTACATACCAACCTTACACATAATGAGAGGAAAAATTTTATCTAGTTCTAAGGTGAAGGTCATTTTTACTAAAATAGATTGAAATTGTACAGAAAAGTGGTTTCCTGAATCTAAATTAAATATCAAATATTGGACTGCAACCTTGCTTTGATATATGGTCACATATAATTAAAGGAAGATCCCTATTGATTTTCAAAAGACTAGACATATTAAGGTTAAAGTTTCTGAAAATAGATTTGTTTAACATAATATAACTGTTTGATATTATAACTTCAAAAAGAATCATATCTTAAGGTAAACAAAACGCTATGCCATCAGATCAAAATAAGCTTAGGGTGTGGGGTATGTGAGCTTGCTCACTTAGATTCTTTTATTAAATCAAATTTAGCCAGAATCAGCCATAAGGGTCTTCTTTATAACTCATGATGTACATTATGTTTTCTGCAAAATACCAAAAGCCATGGGCATCTTGCTTGAAAATAAAAAAAAATTTGAAAATCCAGGAAGAGACAAATTTCTTCTGAGTTTTGATGAAATGATAGATTTCTGTGATTCTCTACAGCAACCATACTGCCATCAAACATGACCACCACGAAAAATGAAATTAGTCTATAGGACCAACTTCTACAAAACTGTAGGAAACTTAAACATTTACAAGTACATAAAGGTTATATGAAGAAACAGTAACCCAACAATAGACAAATGTCTTTACCATTTGTTAAGTTCTTAGTTGTCCTGAGTCAAGATTGATTTTTTGGTGTTTAATGCCACTTTCAGCACTATTGGCTACTTTGTGTCTGCCAGTTTTTTATTGAAAGAGGAAGCCGGAGCTCCCAGAGAGAATCACTGTCCTTAGGCTGGTATATGGTAATCCTAGTAAATACAGATTGGAGTCAAACGTACCTGCTTGATGCTCGGTTCGTACTCCAGTCCCCACCCTGAGTGTAGACAAGTTGTAAATTAATTTGATAAAATAATTAATGATCAACAATTACCAAAAGTAGATAAATTCTGTGGAAGAATAACAGATAATATAAGGGATATAATCAGTGGAATTGATGATGGTGTCCTTTACAATTACCCCCATCTACATGGTGCTCTCACCACATACCCATTTTTTTTACTTACAAAATAAGACTGATATTCTTATGTACCGAAATATAGTATAAATAGGTAATCAAAGATAAAAGAAAATGAAAGTAAACAATGGATAAAGACATAAACCAGTAGTATCTCAACCTTAATATTATGTAAGACATAAACCAGTAGTATCTCAACCTTAATATTATGTAAGACATAAACCAGTAGTATCTCAACCTTAATATTATGTAAGACATAAACCAGTAGTATCTCAACCTTAATATTATGTAAGACATAAACCAGTAGTATCTCAACCTTAATATTATGTAAGACATAAACCAGTAGTATCTCAACCTTAATATTATGTAAGACATAAACCAGTAGTATCTCAACCTTAATATGTAAGACATGAACCAATAGTATCTCAACCTTAATATTATGTAAGACATAAACCAGTAGTATCTCAACCTTAATATTATGTAAGACATAAACCAGTAGTATCTCAACCTTAATATTATGTAAGACATAAACCAGTAGTATCTCAACCTTAATATTATGTAAGACATAAACCAGTAGTATCTCAACCTTAATATTATGTAAGACATAAACCAGTAGTATCTCAACCTAAATATTATGTAAGACAAAACAGTAATATCTCAACCTTAATATTATGTAAGACATAAAACAGTAATATCTCAACCTTAATATTATGTAAGACATAAAACAGTAATATCTCAACCTTAATATTATGTAAGACATAAACCAGTAGTATCTCAACCTTAATATTATGTAAGACATAAACCAGTAGTATCTCAACCTTAATATTATGTAAGACATAAACCAGTAGTATCTCAACCTTAATATTATGTAAGACATAAACCAGTAGTATCTCAACCTTAATATTATGTAAGACATAAACCAGTAATATCTCAACCTTAATATTATGTAAGACATAAACCAGTAGTATCTCAACCTTAATATTATGTAAGACATAAACCAGTAGTATCTCAACCTTAATATTATGTAAGACATAAACCAGTAGTATCTCAACCTTAATATTATGTAAGACATAAACCAGTAATATCTCAACCTTAATATTATGTAAGACATAAAAAGGCCTTTTCAAAGATCAGTTAAATTTTAGAATTTGGGATTTATTTACCACCCTTACAGCCAAAAGTGATTGTCACGACTAAAACAGTACAAGTTCAAAATATCTGTTTCAAAAGTCTTTAAAAAATCCTGGGAAAAACAAATTGCATCATTATATTTGTTGATCTTGTCTATACAATATGTCAAGGAATAAATCTCCCTCAGTCTAAAGAACTGGTGAATAGATCATACTGAAACTATCAAAGGTCTGCCATCCACACCAAATTCTCCAAATAACAATGTGATCATTTGTGATTTTATATATAAGTTTCTGGATGCTCCCATAGAAACATTTATTTAATGCATTGTTTAACATTTGTACTTTGTCATTAATTTTAAATACTATATTTGTTTCAGGAAATAGAGTTAAAACGTCAAGATCCCAGTATTAAAGGACAATTAAACACAGAAGAGTTCATCACATTATTTAAGGAAGTGTCGACCAGACCAGAGATTTACTTCCTTTTAGTTCGGTATGTGTATATTACAATACAAATGAAGAGGACACAAGTTCATTTTGAATACATTGTTCTCTAGTGTGTGACAACAAAAACCTGCATACTGTAGAGTATTTTTAATTCACTGTTTCAGAATCTGATGCATTCTGGGAAATATTTTCAAAAGCGTACACGAAAGCTTTCTGGTACACCATCTTAAACAATAGATATCCAATCAATGGCTTTATTGCCATTTTGATGTGAAAACAATAAAAACCTTTGATACTGGTGAATTGTAAACCCCTTGTACATATATGGCTAACAAGAAAATTATTCAGTCTGTTAATTGATTTAAATAGTTCAAACAAATAGAGTTTACTGACTTGACTGTCATTGTACTAATACTGGCTTATGAAACTTGGACAGAAGCTTCTTCAAGATCAAGAAAAAGCATCACAAAAAAGAATTTTCTTTAAAAAAAAATAGTTCCCGTATTTTACTGATAAATGGACTTTTTGGCGATCAACATTACACTTTTACACTATCAGCAGCAATCACAGACGAGATGCCGGGTTCCTCAGAACCCTTTACAAATTTTTTGGTTGATGATTTCATTTGAACAATTAACAAGGTTTTCTTTGTATAATTGGAAGACTTTGATCACAAGGGAATATTGAAGTTTTAGATATAATCATGAAATGTTTTAAACCATTCCTACTGATATTAGCTTGAGAATGAAATCTTACAGTTGTAATTATACCCTTCACTTTAATGGTTCTGGGTTCAATCAGTTTACATAATCAAATTAACCACAGGACTATAAATAGAACAATGATAAATGTTGGGATATTTGATGCCAATCACTTAATACTATTTATATATTACCAATCTAAATAGATACTGGTTTTGTTCCTCCCATTAACTTTCTGATTGTGGAATAAGATTTCATCTGGAAAATTGTAACTTATTATTGTATGTTTGGATAGTGTAATTAAGCAGCATCGCATTCCTTTTATTTCCTACATTTCTGCAAATTATCTTTATTAACGCTAATGTAAAAAGATTATGTTGTTTGCTGTGGTGAAATATTTGGTCCCAGTGGATATTTTATAGAAAGATTCTTTAACTTTATTTCTATGACATTTTGTTTTGTAGGATAACTAACTTACAATGTAATATTTTACCACTTGTTTATTACAATGTAATATTTTACCATGTGTTTACATTAAGGAATAGAATCAATTATTATAAATTTATGACTTTTCATGATGTTACATTTTTTGTCTGCATGATTACTATCTAAATTGAACAAAGTTATTCTCTTAACACAATCTTTGATGAATGCTATTAACATAAAAACGGTTAACAACAAAAGGCTAAAGAGCTTATGTTATTAATAAATCAAAACACTCCGTACATTGAGTATTACAGTACTATTAGACAAATCTGTTTGTGTAACCTTGGTATCACTATCATTTTCTTGTTGGATCCCCTCCAAATAGGAAAGCACATCTTTAGTTAAGTCTTACCATAACCTTGGATCCATTCTAAATAGGAAGGGACATAGTTAAGTCTTACCATAACCTTGGATCCATTCTAAATAGGAAGGGACATAGTTAAAGCTTACCTTAACCTTGGATTCATTTTAAATAGGAAGGGACATAGTTAGTTAAGTCTTACCATAACCTTGGATAAGTTCAATTTTCCCAAAATATTGGAAAATGGAGAAGACCTCATTTTATCACACAGTTTTTCCGAAGTTTTTCCAAAAATCCTCATTCCTTGTAGTATGCTTAATTTAAACATTTTAGCATTAAGATAGTTAGAAAAATTGGAATTGAGAACCATTTGCTTGGTGTGTAATTTTACAAATATTAGACACTATTTTTGTTGCATGGACAGCACAACTGTTTCATAATGAAAGACAGTGGGTGGGTTATTAGGGCCCTATAGTGATCAGTCCGTCCGTCCGTCCATCCGTAACAAATTGTGTCTGCTCTATATCTAGAGAACCGTTATAATTTCATACTTTATACTTGACATGTATATTAACCAACATTAGAGGGTGTGTCATAATGTTTGTACAACTTCCTGGGTCGAAGTTCAAGGTCGGCAGGACCCACAGAGATGGTTCCCATCTCAATGATGTCTAGTTTTTTTGGGATATTAAATGGTATCCATAAATAAATTTTACTATGATACATTAATTAGAAAATGCTGATTGGTTTATAATCTACTTTTTAGTGACCTTTTCCATTTTTCTAGCTTGGTCAAAAATGTTTGGCTGTCATCTCTAAATTAAACTCCAGCTATCTAGACGAAGTGTTGTTAGTTGTTGTTCTTATCAGAGCAGTCTGTTATTGGAAGTTGATGTGGTTTGTTTTACTGCTCAGATATGTTTCTTAATTCCTATACTATTCAGAATGATTGTCCTCAGCATATTGGTCTATAAATCTTTTTTTCATCCTATGTAAACCTAATAGGTATATTAGATAACATAACAGACAGTATATATTGGCAGGGGACCAGTATATTTACAATGATACATTGATTTCTCTATGTCACAACAGTATGCCACCTGCAAGTTTTTCCTCTCAACTTATAATAATGGAATGTTTTTTTCTGACTTTCTCTCATTGATTATTTTCTTTACTAATTATTTACAGATATGCAAGCAATGCTGACTACCTCACCACCGATGATCTGTTGCTATTTTTAGAAGCAGAACAAGGGGTAAGACATAACAGTAGAATCTGATTTAAGAACTTCATTATGTACATGTAGGTGTATTTCTATTTATAGATGTACTGGGTTTTCCCTAAAACACCATGTGGAAGCAGGATGGTATTAAAAAGAAAAAAGAAAAAAATTGAATCAACAAAATAAAAGATTATTTTTTCCCTCAGGTTACACAGTGATAAAAATTAGCTTTATATATGATTAATCTGTGGTTTCAAAGGGGAGGGGGGATCTATAGACAGGCATGGGATGACTAATACATAAATGACTTCAACCATTATCCTTAAAACTTTATAGATATTAAAGTTGAGCACTTTCTGTTATGCAAGTAGCTGAGGAATTTATCTCCATTTCTCCTGACATTGAAACATAATCATTTAACTGCATAATTTCAAAAGAGAGCACTTTTTCTATACTGGTAGTAATCTTTCTATCTCCTTCAAACCAGTTCTGTTATACCTCAAAGATAGTTTATATTATACCATTTATGGAGATTGTATGTTATAGCAGGAAAAAATGTATGGTAATAAAAAATGTATAGTGTTTTTGTCATGTGAAATACTCACTTGTTATGAGTAATTAGATAACTACATTTGGTATATGGGATCCTTGCAAGATCTACATGTCTGTTAGACAGGGTTCTCGTGACCTCCACCTCATTTCATGGATTAGTTATCAAAGTTAAGTTTTCGTGGTCAAGTCCTTATCCTTATCAAGATACCCAAAGCAATACAGCAACTTTATTTGGTGTATGGAATGATTGCTAGGTATACTTGTCTGTCTAGCAGGTTTCATATGACCTTTATCTCATTTTCATGGTTCATTGGTCAATGTTTAGTTTTCATGGTTAGGGCTGTTTATCAGATACAGTTAGCGAAGGGTCATTTTTTTTGGTGAATGGAATGTTTTTAAGGTGAACATGTCTGTCTGGCAGGGTTCACATTTCCTTGACCTCATTTTCATGGTTATTTCTGTTTCTCAGTTATTATAAGCAATATATCTATATTTGGTGTATAAAATTATTGTGTAATGATCATGATGTCTGGCAGGGTTAAAATGACCTTGGCTTCATATTTATGGCCCATTGGTCAATGTATAGTTTCTAATTAGGTCTGTTTCTCAGAGTCTTTAAGCTAACTATGTTTGTTGTAGATAGTACATGTCTGTCTGGTAGGGTTCATTTGACCTTGATCTCATTTACATGAATCATTGATAATGTTAAGTTTGTGATACTTGTAGTAAAATCTTCATATTACATACTTTTGATATAAGTTCAATACTGATAAGAGACATTCTTGTTTTATATTTAACTTATCATTGTTTAATTTTTTTTAACTTATCAGCACAATATATACTTCATTTTGGCAAAGTGTGAAAAAATTCAGTCATTTTTCGTTGATATTTCAATACTACATTTAAGAAGTTATAATAGGTACTTTAGCCTAAATGTTCTTAATCACCTCTTACTTACAAAAATAGGGTAAAAAATATAGCCTTAGTTTCTTTGATGAGTGCACTTCTTTTTTATCAGTAATTAAAGAAGAACATAAAATTAGTATACATCTTAGATTTGACCTTGTTAAGTATTTGACCTAATTAACAGACAAATATCTCACATATGAAGGAGTTAATGCCAAGTGGTAATTATAACAGAAAATGTGGTTGTTTTCAATGTAGAAAAAGTTTGAGATATTTTATCTGTATTATTACAGAAATCAGATGATAATGTTAGGGATCAACTGTAAATTACGCACAGTGCATTTTTGCTGTTTAGAGAGATTTTTTCAGCATGGCAAGATTTATTTATTTTGTTACAAAAGACTGTTTTAAGCTTCCCTATTGGATGTTAAAGTAATGGAATACCCCAGCTTAATACTGCCTGAACCTTTATGAACCAGTTAACTGTATATCAAAATATATATATTAAAACAAATAACATGTTTTGTTTGCATAAGTGATAAGACTCGAATGATGAGTATTTTTTTCAAAATCAGAAAATCCATCCATTAATGGCTATAGTTTGTATTGGATGTGCAATTTAAGTTTGTCATCAAAATTGGAAAATAAACTTAACAATTTTTATATGACTGCAAAATTTTTGAGGCCAAATAATGTATGACGATGTTGTTGTCCGAAGTCATTTGGTTTCCAGACAATAACTTGGATGTAAGTGTATGGATCTCTATAAAATTGTACTACAAGGTTACATACCACAAAAGGAAGGTTTGGATTAATGCTGGGGGTTATTGTCCTTTTCTGTTTAGGAATTAGGGGCCAAAAAGGGGAAACAAACAAGCATTTTTCTGTTTCAGGATAATAACTTATGTATAAGTGTATGGATCTCTATTGTACCATAAGGTTCCATACCTTAAATAAAGGTTGGGATTGATTTTGGGGGCTATGGCCCTTATTGGTGAGGAACAAGTGGCAAAAACCAATACTTTTCTAATAATTTGTATAAATTGCTTATTTCTTGACCAATTTCAATGGGGTTTAATTCAAAGTCTTGAATTCTTGGGATTCTTTAAAATGCTAAATCTAATCATGTATATAGATTTTTTATTTTTAGCCCTTTTTATTTATATTAGTCCACATTGAGGTCCAAAGGGTTCAAAATTAAACTTTCATTGATTTCATCAATAATTGAATTTTTGGGGTTCTTGGTATGCCGAATCTAACTGTTTATTTAGATTTTAAATTTTGGGCCCCCTTTTCAAATTGGTCCACATTAAGGTCCAAACGGTCCAAAATTTAACTTTGTTTGAATTCAATAAACATTGAATTCTTGGGGTTCTTTGATATGCTGAATCAAACCCTGTATTTAGATTTTTGATTTTGGGCCCAGTTTTCAAATTGGTAAATAGGGTCCAAAATAAAACTTTTTTTGTTCAATTTGAACAATGATAGAAGTCTTCGGTTGTTTGACATGCTGAATCTAACCATGTATTTAGATTCTGGATATTGGGGCCTCGTTATCAAATTGGTCCACATTGAGGTCGAAAGGGTCTAAAATTAAACTTTTGTTTTATTTCATCAAAATTGAATTCTAACCTATTATGTCCGATTTAAAATTTTTAAGACCACATTCATTCTGTGTCAGAAACGTATGCTGTGTCAAATATTTAATCACAATCCAAATTCAGATCTGTATCAAGCTTGAATATTGTGTCCATACTTTCCCCAAGTGTTCAGGGTTTCGACCTCTGCGGTGGTATCAAGCTGCGCCCTTCAGTATTTTATTAATATAATTATCATTTAATTGTTGTTGAGCCTGCAATATTTATGTTGAAGAAGATCCTTCACAATGCTTATCACCACAAAATTCAGATCTAGTACAAATTTGGGTAGTGTCTTTTTACCATTCTTGAGTTATGTCCCTTTATAGCGTTATATTCAAGCGGGGGCATCATCTGCCAGAAGCATACCTATGACGTCACCTAGTTATGGCGCCAAAGAAGATAACATCATTTCGTAGAATTTTCGTTTGATGAAAATTTTACACTGAAATAATGACTAAAATTGAATGATTTGTTTGTTTTGCATTAGAATAGAGATAACTGTTTTGTATTTGAAGCTTTGTGGACGTCCATGGTAGTTTTACTGTTGCAAATATCAGTTTACCTGTCTCCTCTATGCGTTGCCAGGTAAACTAAATTTGCAGCTATCTATAAATTATAGATCACCGTATGGACTTCAACAATGAGCTAGACCCATACCGCATTGTCAGCTATAAAAGGCCCTATGTGACAAATTGTGATATAATTGAAACAAGAAAAACAAACCGCCTGATTTATAATGAATTACAGGCTCCTGAATTGAGAAAGACACACGAGAAATGTGGTGGCGTTAAACAGGTTTGTTCAATCCGGTATTGATATATTGTTAAAATGAGGAAAATATTATAACTATTGTTTATATCATTGTTTCTAGTCTGATTATTGGTATAAATTTCATTTTCATTAATTTTTTTTTAACGGAAGAAGAAAATGAGTTAATTAAATTTGTCAAAGGTGTATAATGTTTTCTTTGTCAGAATTCGGAATTTATGAGTTTTAATATGGAAAATTTGTCAGTAGTCAGAATTTGTGAGATCATGGGGAATTTCTTTTGAAAACATTGCAGGTCTTTGATAGTTTAATTCTGTTTATTTTCATCTCAACATTTTTATAGATGCAGAAATATTAAGAGATTGACCTATTGTATCGACTACAGATTTTGTTTGACGACCTCTTGATGTCTGTTTTATTTTTGTTGTTGGGTTGCTTTATCATCTTAACTTATGTTATTTTGATTGAAGTTTGAAAAGTAGGGAAAAGAGTGACCAGTTTTGGAAGTCCAGCTATTCTTCTAAGCTATAATTTAGTATGTTGAGGTGTTTTCCCCAAAAATATTTTATTATTTGAAGAGTTACTAATCAGTTTCAAACTTTTTGGTTTTAGCCTTCATGTCAAGGTTAATTCAAAAAGCAGTTTTAACACAACAAATGTGATACCCTTCTCTTTAATTTCTTCAAGGATAGAATTGTTTGCTAATGTGATCAATGATAGTATTCACATATGTCAGTCATTTAGATGAACAGTATGTAGCATTTTAAAATTCTTAAAATTATACAAATTGTTGAGTTCATTGCATTGGAATTAAATTGATAATATTCACACATGTCACTCGGCTAGATGAACAGTACATAGAAACATATCAAAATTCTTTTAAGATTATAAAAACTGTTGAGTTTATTGCATTAGAATTAGAAAATGGTTGATTATGCAGCAGTTAGAATTGGAAGAGAAACATGATTAAAGTTTACATTACTGATCTATAAATTGATATAAAAAAGCCCTTGAACTTGTTAATGTTACTCTCATAATAGAACATTGCATAAAAGTTTTATCCTAAAGAAATCGATGCCTTTTTGCATTTAGTCTGTCCATTTTCTGCAGAAAGCCATAAATATCTAATACAGTTTATATAGAATGTCATTACACAGCAATATTTCAGTTGATTGATTTGTATTTTTTTTAAATGCATATTTAACTGTAATGATGTAATTAGTGTGGATCAGCTGTTGAGAAATCAAGAGATATATCAGGACTTGGAGGAGAGTGTTGACTTCAAGATAAAAGGGATCGATAAATCACTAGTTGTCAAATGTGCATTATTCAAAACTAACATTTTAATTTTCTTTACAGCATTAGAAATTCTAAAGTTTCTAAGCCTTATAAAGTTGGAAAATTATGAAATGCTTTTATTCTGCAGACTTTTGTGTAAAATGAATGACATGCAAACAACATGAACAATCAATAAGATATTGTAAAGTAATTCATTTAAAAAAAGACTGCATCTGTCTAAAAAAAAAATTTTCAGACATTTTTATGAACCTGGTTTTCCGATGGAAATTGGTTATTGATTAGGGGGTGTACAATGGGTGTGTGTTTGGGAGGGTGTCTCTGGCTGTTTCTGTGTAATAACTTATGAACAGTTCAGTGCTTTTCAAATATTTTGTTACTGATTTCAAAATATAGTTCCAAGTTTTGCCATTCAGGTGTTTTGATTTTTAGTTCTTGATTGACCAACACAAAAGAGTACAGACATGGGCAACCTAGATAGTATAAATGTAACAATCATCTCAAAGCAAAACTTTCTTTCAGCTGGATTTGTTACCCACTATTACTCAACAGTATTACTAACTTCGAGGCACATGTTGGAAAATGTCATGCTTTTGCATATATTGTGAAAAAGCCTGAACTTTCTAGGGGGTCTCTAAGTAATCTCATCTTACCATGTACCTCTTTGTTTTAGTGGCAATAAAAAGTATCCATCTGAAGAGATATAATTAGCTTGGAGAGAAACTTGACACTAACCGTAAAAGAAAAATCAGACACATGCAGGAAATATAGAAATCTTTTCAAAGATATTAACGTGATTTATCTTTAGACTTTTTCTTGAAAGACTTATTTTAGTTTAAAAATTGTACTCTTATCTTTCTCACTTTTTATATAAAAAAAAAAAAACGTGTTGATAATGTCATCATTATTATAAATGACAGATTTGCCTGACAGTGGTGACATATTGTGCCATTAATTTTGACAGATAAATAGACCATTTTTTAAAGGATTTTAAGAATTTGTAGGTTTCTGTAATCGTAAGGGCTTAAGATTGCCACTTCTCAGATTTCTCCTTGTTTAGTGAATATTGATTTAGTCAAGATTTCAAATACTAAGTATCTAAGAAGCCATCATCTTGTAATTGCCATTGAAGATTTGAAGCATAAAAAGCTGTAATTGCTCATAAAAATTCCTTGAAATTAGTTAAACAGTACAAAACCACTATGTTTACTTAGAAACTCTGGAACAGGATACCTGGTATTAGTTAAACAGTACAAAACCACTATGTTTACTTAGAAACTCTGGAACAGGATACCTGGTATTAGTTAAACAGTACAAAACCACTATGTTTACTTAGAAACTCTGGAACAGGATACCTGGTATTAGTTAAACAGTACAAAACCACTATGTTTACTTAGAAACTCGGGAACAGAGTACCTGGTATTAGTTAAACAGTACAAAACCACTATGTTTACTTAGAAACTCTGGAACAGGATACCTGGTATTAGTTAAACAGTACAAAACCACTATGTTTACTTAGAAACTCGGGAACAGAGTACCTGGTATTAGTTAAACAGTACAAAACCACTATGTTTACTTAGAAACTCTGGAACAGAATACCTGGTATTAGTTAAACAGTACAAAACCACTATGTTTACTTAGAAACTCGGGAACAGAGTACCTGGTATTAGTTAAACAGTACAAAACCACTATGTTTACTTAGAAACTCGGGAACAGAATACCTGGTATTAGTTAAACAGTACAAAACCACTATGTTTACTTAGAAACTCGGGAACAGAATACCTGGTATTAGTTAAACAGTACAAAACCACTATGTTTACTTAGAAACTCGGGAACAGAATACCATTATGGTTATGCATTTTAAAATCGCTACAAGACTGTCTTGTCTGGCTGTCCGAATATTTATGGAAAGTTGAAACATAGTCTGAAATTAATAATTTATATGACAGCTTGGTTATAACACTATAGAGTTAAATTTGCATTTGCATTTCATCACTATGTTGTCGCCAGGATAGCCCCTTCAGTTTCATGTGGTGCTGGAACTTCTCTTCAAATTTAAGACTTTTGACTCATCATTTCAATAATCATAAAAATCTGATATATGGGACTTGTAAAAATTTCAAATATTAAATATTGTTGCCATTTTAGCACCTTAACTATTTTGATCAAATCCTCTTTAAAATTTGTATGAAAATTTCGACTTATCAAACCATCGAGCCCTGGATGAGTTTGATGAAAATATTAGGAGGGGACTTGTAAGAATATATTAATTCTTGTTAAGGGGATAACATCATCTTTTTTGATGGAACCAAATTTACTATTTTTTTAATGCATATAGATGTATCCAAGCAAGGCCTGCAGCATCCCAGTATTTAGTTGATTAATTGATTGTTGTTTGCTTAATGTGAAATGCATAACATTCCATGCATTATCAGGATTAAAACAAGTTGAACAAAATATCAAGTAAGTTCTGGGAAGTAAGTACTTTGACAACAACTGAAAAATCATTCAAGGGCAGCAATTGTGCCTTACAATATGTCTGTCAGCTACAGAACTCTCAACAAATTGTTGCATTGCCAAGGGTAAGCAGAGAGTGTGGTATTCTGACAACATTTGATATTGTTAAGTTGTAAGTCTTTATTATCTGATCATTGATTGATCCTGAATTTAAAACATTAGATTTAATTTATTTGAAATTATTTTTATTTTCAGATGACCCGAGTAACAAAGGAGAAATGTATAGAAATTATAAATGAATATGAACCATCAAAAGACGGCAAGAAAAAAGGCCAGTTAGGAATTGATGGTAAGTTTTTCAATATATATATATGTACACATTACCATATAAAAACAAGGAGATATGGTATGATTGCCAATGAGCCAACTATCCTCAAAGGTTTAAATGAAATGGATGTAAGCAGTTATAGGCAATAATGAGAAAAACCCATACTGTATAGTCGTCTATAAAAGGCCCCAATATGAATTATATGAAACAATTCAATTGAGAAAACTAACAGCCTAATTATTATACCCCCGTTTTAAAAAAGTGGGGGTATACTGTTTTACCTCTGTCTGTCCATCCGTCAGTCAGTCTGTCCATCCTTCAGTCCGTCGTCCATCCGTCCCATGAATATTTTACGTTGCATCATTTTCGGGAACTACATTACAAGGATTTCTGAAATTTTGTTTCAGGGTTTATATGAGTCAGCTATACCGTGTTATGTGTTTTCATATTCATCACTCAACAACTTCCTGTTTACGGAACACTTACATATTTTTACACTATTAAAATTATCCAGTTGTGGCGGGGGTATCATCAGTGAGCAGTAGCTCACAGTTTCACTTGTTTATAACAAAATGATTTCTGAAAAACAAATGTGGCTGACATGAACCAAGGACAACCACTGAACTAAGGAGTCGGTTTTACAAAAATACTAAAATTGGTTGTAGGTCATGAACAATTCAGTATACTTACGATCAATCTTAGTCGTAAAATTTTTTGTGAAACCAACTCCATGCTTCTGACTTGGGACAGGCGCAGGACAGGCGCGGGACAGGCACACACAAAATGTAGCAGGGTTAAACATGTTTGAAGGCGACAACCCTTCCTTACCCTGGACAGTGGTGTAGCGGCACAACACAAGAACAAACTACAAAACAATAAATGAAAAACAAATATGAGAAACAGCAATAAACGACAACCACTCAATTACAGGCTCCTGACTTAGGACTGGCACCATAAGAACATGTTTGAAGGTGCCCCACCTTTCCTCTTAACCTGGGATATTGGTGTAATCATGCCTATATATTACTAAGTAGAAGTATACTACAGGGCTTCATTAGTTCAAAACCAGACTCATAAATCAATAAGAAGTCTGACCGCTCAGAACAGTTAATTGGCAATGGGTTGTAAGAACATGTTTTATGTGATATGTACCTCTATGACTGACTTATGAACCTAGCATTTGATCTAAATGGGGTCATATTATTATTTATTTTACATACAGGCCATTGTCCTGGCAAGAACTTTTTTTAATTTATATATAGACTTATCATATATATATATACCTTAAGATTGATATGTCACATACTATCATGATTCTATATTTGACCTTTGACCTCAAGGTCAAATGATTGATATGAGCCAGAACTGTATCATATGACACAGAATTGGGATAGTATCTACCTTAGACAACGTATCATCCATCATAACCAATATTTGACCTTTGAACATATGTTCAAATTTCTTCTTTATTTAAAGAGTAAGCTTGTGAACCAGATTTGACATTGACTTGTTCTATACTTTCATGTTGGTATATAACCATATGGCAATGTGTTACATATCATCAGTGCTGTTAACTTTGAACTTCAGGGGGGAAAAAAATATATTTTTGGCAAAAAAAAATTTCTGTGTTAGAACCTTTATTAACAGATGTTGACTTGATATTTGGAATGTGAGTGAAATACTAAATGACAACATGTTTGGTAATATTACAGAAAATAGATCATATGATTAAAACTTATTACAATTGATATTTGTTTTTCTGTTTACAGCACTACTTGCTCTAATTTGAAGGGGGAATTATATGTTTTAGTTCATTAGAATAATTTTAATATGTTCATTAATTATTCAGTTATTTACAATGGATTTATGAGATTTGAACATTGGTAAACCGCTGTTGCTTTTAAGTTCACCACAATGAAGATATTTGCATACCAGATTCATTTAATTAGTTTATTTTTTCTGTTGAAAGAATGAAATAAGTTTGAATACAATGTACAAAGGATACTGATCTGACTCCGTGGTCTTGTAGTGTTGTCACTTCAAATTGTCATGGAGTCAATGGCAGTGCAATGACGGCTTTATAAATAGATAATAACCTGTTTTATTGTTTGTTTTCCATTTTCCATTCAAAACAGTTTGAAAAAAAATGGTTTCATACTGAACTTTAAATGTTTTGGTTTTATGTTTTGCTAAATAATTGTATTCTATTTTTAGGTTTTACTCAATTCTTATTATCTGATGAATGTAACCTGTTTGAACCAGAGCACAGAGATGTGTGTCAAGATATGTCTCAACCCCTATGTCATTACTTTATCTCAAGTTCCCATAACACGTAAGTCAACATACAAAGATACGTCTCAACCCCTATGTCATTACTTTATTTCAAGTTCCCATAACACGTAAGTCAACATACAAAGATATATCTCAACCCCTATGTCGTTACTTTATCTCAAGTTCCCATAACACGTAAGTCAACACAAAAAGATACGTCTCAACCCCTATGTCATTACTCTATCTCAAGTTCCCATAACACGTAAGTCAACATACAAAGATATGTCTCTACCCCTATGTCATTACATTATCTCAAGTTCCCATAACACGTAAGTCAACACATAAAGATATGTCACAACCCCTTTGTCATGACTTTATCTCAAGTTCCCGAAACACGTAAGTCAACATACAAAGATACGTCTCAACCCCTATGCAGTGTTCTCCCCAGGCCCTTAAAGGACCGCGGGCCCGCGATGTATAATTTTCTACCGTGGTGGTATCGTTCTTGCCGCGATGTATAATTTTTCTCCGTGGTGCTAAAATTTTCGGTAAAAAAATCGTAAATCGGTAAAGTTTTAAACGACTTGTTAAACCTTTTCCGTGGGGTATAAAATTTCAGATGAAAATTGACCAGTTCAAACCAGTTCAAACAACTTGATTGTTTACACCACGTGATCGATTTACCTTTTGAGGTTAACCTTGATGATTGGATTTAATCGATGTACATGATTCTTTTGTGTTTTAATTAATTAAGAGATCATAATTAATGATCAGACTTGTGAGGGACAAGCAGACATTTGTTAATTAACTCTATTACTCCAGCCTTTGGTTATAAATAACTTGCGTATTTTAAACGTGTTGGAGTTACTTCCCCTGAATTAGCTTATTACAAATAAGTGCTCCTAAAATATCATCTATCATTGAAAATAGAAATAAAGTACAAATTGAATGCAAAATTATATAAGAATGTTACCTTAAGGATAAAAACTTTCTTTGAACATACCAACAAAAATATATTGCAAATTATTTTTGATAATCATACTTTTATTAATGCACAGACATATTATAAAAAATAGGTAGTATTTTCTAATTGGTAACTGATTTCTTCCCAGTCTTTAAACTCTGATTGGAACTCAGTTTGATATGATATGTGGGTGTACATATAGATGATAAATATTTTTACATGTCTATCTACCAAGTAACACAATAATGATTCTAATAATAATTGTATTGTTGTTTAAAAGAATCATGTCTAAAGCTATGGAAAATAGTTTTTAATTTACTAGAGGTTCTGCATTAAAATTTAATCTTGTTTAAATTTAATTGTTATGGTGTAATCTAACAAAAATGGGGAAAGTGTAGTGTAACTACAAGTATCAGGACAAATTGGCTTGATCAAAATATAAAAAGTGACTTAAGTTTAAAGACTTATAGTGCTTTCTTTTATTTATTCTTAAAAGAAATTAAAGTATACAAACTGTTTATTGATTTACTTCTTTTTTTACCAGTAATTTTTTGACCCAAAGTCTACATAACACAGTAAACAAAACAAAGACAAAAAGGTAATGACACAAAAACTAACAAGAAAAAAAAAAGCAATGCAACGCGACACAGCATATTGTACAAATCATTTTGACACGCGTTACCCTGGTGCTATCCAAAAATCCTGGGGAGAACACTGCCCCTATGTCATTACTTTATCTAAAGTTCCCATAACACGTAAGTCAACATACAAAGATATGTCTCAACCCCTATGTCATTTTTTTATCTCAAGTTCCCATAACACGTAAGTCAACATACAAAGATATGTCTCAACCCCTATATCATTTCTTTATCTCAAGTTCCCATAACACGTAAGTCAACACACAAAGATACGTCTCAACCCCTATGTCATTACTTTATCTCAAGTTCCCATAACACATAAGTCAACACACAAAGATACGTCTCAAAACCTATGTCATTACTTTATCTCAAGTTTCCATATCCATGATAACACGTAAGTCAACATACAAAGATATGTCTTGACCCCAAATTAAATGACAAAAAAACTTTATTGTGTATTTGTACATTATCTATTGAAAGATAAGTTATTTATATATACAGCAGCTTATATCCTGAAAAACAGGTTTATGTCAAGATATGTCTCCATTCTAATGTAATGGCTTTATATCATATTAATTAAATGTGGACACACAAATGTGTGTTAAGATATATCTCAACCCCTGTATTATTATTATACATCAAGTTCATTGTAATTTTCAGCCCTTGCATCTCTACTTTTATATTACAAATTTGGTAACATAAGTCAAAGGAAAAAGAACATTTTGCTCAGAAGACAACAATAAACAATGACAAATTACAAACTGTGTATATCATTTGCTATTGGAAATGATTATACAATTATTGTTAATTTATTTACAGATATTTAATGAAAGACCAGTTACAAGGTCCATCCAGTACAGAGGCCTATATTAATGCATTAGACAAAGGATGTCGCTGTTTGGAATGTGAGTATAAATATTAATACACTAACAAATTTCTTGACTAAATATTTAATAAATAAATAGAGAGAACTTGATCATTTACTACTACAACTGTTGACCAATTTATTATACGACCCCAAAAAATTTTTGCAGTCGTATATTGGTATGATGTTGGCGCCGTCGTCCGAAGACACATCAGATATAGTGGTTTTCGCACAATAACTTTAGTTTAAGGGAATGGATCTCTATGAAATTTTACCATAAGGTTCAATACCACAAAAGGAAAGTTGGGATTGATTTGGGGGTTATGGTACCAACAGTTAAGGAATTAGGGGCCAAAAATAAGCATTTTTCTAGTTTCCAGACAATAACTTGTGGAACGGTGTATGGATCTCTCTGAAATTATACCACAAGTTTCCTACCACAAAGGGATGGTTAGGATTTGCTTTGGGGGGTTATGGCTCAAACCGTTTAGGAATTAGGGGCAAAAAAGGGGGAAAAACAAGGGTGTCCTGGTTAATGGACAAATACTTTAGTACAAAACATAATTTTAAGCAGTGTAAGGGAGGTAATTCAAATACATCATTTGAATTACCTCCCTTACACTGCTTTTAAATTATGTATAAAGTAATGGTTAATGAACAATTAAGACAATTTAAAAGCAGTGTAAGGGAGGTAATCCAAATACAACGTTTTGATTACCTCCCTTACACTGCTTTTAAATTATGTTTAAAGAAATGCATGTTTATAAAGGAAGACCAGTAAAAATATCTGCAAATGTTGCATTTTTTTTTTTTTTTACAAAAAAATCCATATGAAAGATTTGACACCATATTTTAATTTCTATTATAAAATAGATTAAGTTAGCACTATGGTAAATTTAAATGGGTAATTATGGTTGCAAACTCCATTGGAAATTTGAATTAAGATTATGACCATATCTTGAGGGAAAGATTTTTTTTGGGGGAAAAAAAGGGGGGGGGGGAGGGGTAAAAAGAAATTGTCGAGAGTCAATTTTTTCTCATTTCAGATTTCAGAAATTAAAAAGAAAAATTCTTTGACAAAAAAAATGGGGGGGGGAGGGGGGGGTTAATTCGCAACAGCATAGTGTATTGCACAAAATTTTTTTTGTGGGGGGAAGGGGGGGGGGGGGGGGAGGTCAATTCGCAACAGCAAAGTGTATTGCACAAAAGCAAAAAATTTAATATAAATTCAAATCATATAACCAATTCTAAGTTCTTTGACTACAGTTATTCTGTGTCAGAAACATTTTATGTGTCAAATATTTAATTACAATCCAAATTCAGACCTGTATCAAGCTCGAATATTGCATCCATTTTTCCCCCAACTGTTCAGGGTTGGACCTCTGCGGTTGGACCTCTGCGGTTGTATCCAGCTGCGCTTGGCGAAGCAATTTATTTTTGTGGTAACCAATTTTAGGGGGAAAAAAAGTTTAGTTGATAGTTGATTTCAGGGATTTAATGAATTCTGTGTACAAGCCTGATAGAAATTAGTATTTTGTTATACTCTTTATTTGTCAGTTCACATATACCCATAAAATCCACGGAAACTGGAATCCCATGAATAAAAAAAAGACTCAACAGTATACATGTATGAGTATAATAGCTTTTCTCAATCTTTTTTTTGTAGTGGACTGTTGGGATGGTCCTAATGATGAACCAATGATCTATCATGGACACACCTTTACCTCAAAGATAACCTTCAAATCTGTCATAGAAACCATCAACGAATATGCTTTCAATATTTCCAAGTAAGTGACATTCAAATCTGTCATAGAAACCATAAAAAAATATGCATTCAATGTTCTTAAGTAAATGACCTTCAAATCTGTCATAGAAACTAATAACAAATATGCATTCTATGTTCCCAAGTAAATGACCTTCAAATTTATCATAGAAATTATCAACAAATAAAATGCTTTTAATATACCTAAGTAGGTGACATTCAAATCTGTCATAGAAACAATCAACAAATATACTTTTAATGTATCCAAGTAAGCAACCTTCAAATCAGTCGTAGAAACCATCAAGGAATATGTTTGACTTTGAAAAAGATGACAAATTTGATGAAATCTCCATGGTATGGAAATACTTGAAGATTTTAGACTTTGGTTCAAATAATTGAACTAACCAAATCTTACATTTGATACAATACTTGTTAATATTGTGTGTTAAACAAACAATTGATTAAAAAATTAGTGAAATTTGTTATTGACTATTGAATATGATACCCACACAGAATGCTTTAAAGTTAGTGATGTATAAAGATATATGCAGTCAGGTCAGTAGTTCTCTACGGGCCCTCAGGCTTCCTCCACCAATAAAAACTTATTCCCATAAAACAGCATTAAAGCTGAAAGTGGCATTAAATGCTAATCAATCAATCTATCTTTTGGATATAATACCCATAAAAAACAAATGTAACGAACGAGTTAGAAAATCTGATATTTGTTAACTAAGCAGCAGTTTATCTAAGTTATGGCATAACCAACTATTGGATGTAATACACAAATGAATGGTGTTAAAAACTACAGTATAATAAATAAGAAAGCAATTGTTTATATTGTTTCAACTCCTAATCAGCTGGTCAGGCAATGAAATAGATTGGCTAAGAATAAGAGAAATGTTTATAATACCATAATAAGACATATTTGGCTAAGAATAAGAGAAATGTTTATAATACCATAACAAGACATAATATGTGAAGCAAAATAAAATTCAAGATTTTATATGATTAGCTGTATATGATTTTTTTATATGATTTTAGATTTCCAGTAATTTTATCTATTGAAAACCACTGCAGTGTCAAGCAACAAAAATCAATGGCTAACTATATGACAACGATATTTGGAGATAAACTATATTGTGATATAGTCGATGAGAATGCAACATGTTTGCCTCCTTTAGAATCTTTAGCTGAAAAAGTTCTTATAAAGGTAACTATTATATCACCTTAACAGGATGTAGGGCATCATTAGCTGAAAAAGTTCTTATAAAGGTAACTATTATATCATCTTAACAGGATGTAGGGCATCGTTAGTTGAAAAAGTTCTTATAAAGGTAACTATTATATCACCTGAACAGGATGTAGGGCATCGTTAGCTGAAAAAGTTCTTATAAAGGTTACTATTATATCACCTTAACAGGATGTAGGGCATCGTTAGTTGAAAAAGTTATTATCAAGGTAAATATTATAATGTAGGGCATTGTTAGTTGAAAAAGTTCTTATAAAGGTAAATATTATAATGTAGGGCATCGTTAGTTGAAAAAGTTCTTATAAAGGTAAATATTATAATGTAGGGCATCGTTAGTTGAAAAAGTTCTTATAAAGGTAAATATTATAATGTAGGGCATTGTTAGTTGAAAAAGTTCTTATAAAGGTAAATATATAATGTAGGGCATCGTTAGTTGAAAAAGTTCTTATAAAGGTAAATATTATAATGTAGGGCATTGTTAGTTGAAAAAGTTCTTATAAAGGTAACTATTATATCATCTTAACAGGATGTAGGGCATCGCTAGTTGAAAAAGTTCTTATAAAATTACATATCATATCACCTTAACAGGATGTAGGGCATCGTTAGTGAAAAAGTTCTTATAAAGGTAAATATTATATCACCTTAACAGGATGTAGGGCATCATTATTAAAATAAACTATCAGGAGTTACAAGCCTAGGGCTATTTTCACAAAAAAATCTCACAACTAAAATTAATCGTAAGTTATACTGAAATGTTCATGACTTACGAGTGTTTTTACTCTTAAGATGTTTTGTAAAAAGAGTCGTTGAACACTCATCATTTGTCCTAACCATTAGCCTGTAATTTATTGCTGATATCAAAATCATTTATACCCCCGCTTTAAAAAAGTGGGGGTAAACTGTTTTACCTCCGTCTGTCCACCCGTCCGTCGGTCCGTCCCATGAATATTTTTTCGTCGCATCTTTCTCAGGAACTACATCATAAGGATTTCTGAAATTTGGTTTCAGGGTTTATATAAGTCAGCTATACCGTGTGATGCGTTTTCAGAATCATCACTCAACAATAAATGCATATTTGGGCTGGGGGTATCATCAGTGAGCAGTAGCTCGCAGTTTCACTTGTTGTTTCATGTGTTCATTATAGTTATATCAGTTATTTTGAAGGAGATTCTTGATTTGCAAACTGGTCCAACTCACTCACAAACTAAATTTCCTACTTTATGTTATTTTGAAGAAGTTTCTAAAAATGTGTTAACATGGCTGATTCACTCACACACTGAATTGTCTACTTTATATATTGTTCTGTTTATGTGACATTGGAAAATGAAATAAAAGTAAATTAAGAAACACTGTGTTAACCTACACCAATACTATAAAAGTAAATTAAGGAATACTGTGTTAACCTACACCAATACTATAAAAGTAAATTAAGGAATACTGTGTTAACCTACACCAATACTATTCCTTTGATAGGCAGTAAGAAGGGATATTTGTAGAGCAAAAGTTTAAAACAACATTAAATTTTTAAGAAAAAGATGATAATTGTACATTAATGGTAGTATATAATTGTATTTTTAGGGTAAAAAGTTAGATTTACACACAGATTCTGATGAAGGGATGGTCACTGATGAAGATGAAGGGGCGGAGTCAGAGAAAAAGAAAAACAACAAATCTAGGGTAATTGATGGATTATTGTTTGTCTAATGTCAAGCAGAAAATATTTCAGGCATATTCATAAAGAGCTAAGAGAAGGTTGTAAAGAATTGGATATTGTATGAAAGTGACCCATAGAAAAGTACATGACAATCGCTCTTTTTTTAAGGATAAAAAAAAATCTTTTCAGGTTATAATGTATATTAAATAAAAAAAACTGTATATGTTAATGATCCCATCATTTAAATGTGTCTTTTTAGAATATCATATATTTTTTAAGAGAGCATCTTTGAAATATATAAACATGTATTATTGAAATGATGACATGTTGTTTTTATGCCCCTGCTGCAAGGCGAAGGGAGCATAAAGTGTTTCCCTTGACCATCCCATTTTCTTTGGAACAGCAAGCTTCAGCGGGGGCATTCATATCCTCAGACACATTCTTCTTTTATTTAATTTTATATTTTGTACATTCGTTTGTTTTTTTTTCTATTTATAGGAAGGATCAATAAAGAAACACAAATTAGCAAAAGAATTATCCGACCTAGTTAATTACTGTGTGTCAAAACGTTTTAAAGACTTTCAAATGTCTCAACATAGTCGTAAGTAATGTTACTTGTATACAGAAGATATTCATTCATTGATTCAGTTGTGACATTTTGCCAAATTAGAAGTATAAGTTGACAGCAATGTCCTGTCAGAATAGGGATGTTAAATCTGATGCCTTGTGTATAGAGTGCCAAGCTCTTTGTATGTTCAAGAATCCTTGCAACAACTCTTATGAGGTCTGTAGGTGGCCTGTTGCAAGGCAAAATTTCTGTGCCTATCCACCATACTTTTGTTTTCCAGTGTCAGTTCCAACCTTCTCAGTTGTCTGACATTGGAGAACCTCCACATTGTATTAATTGTTAATAGTTTGTCATTTTAATATTTGCGAGTCCTAAATTTGCATGAAATAATTTCCAGTGGACATTTAGCAAGCAACACTCAATCAATCAATACTTCCCAAGGATTACAACAGAGGGAAGCAGTTCATTTGGTTCTAGGACTTCTTTAACCTTTTCCCCAGACTTAACTACTTGACCATGATAATAAGGAAGTTTTGCTTTCAGAGAATGTATGGTAATAAACAGAGAAAACTACTTTAAAACCTCTTCCTGGTCTATAAAACATTAGTTATTGGAATAGTCTGAAGTCTACATTAGTCTGGTAGCCATCGAAAAGACGAGCTTACAGAAATAAGAAATTAATTAAAAAATATAATTACATATCACTGTCTTAAGGGATTCGTTCAAATATCCACAACATAACAGTATGAATATTTAATGGAACAAAGTACATGGAAACATTCATTTTTTTATGTCAATATCTAAATTTAGTAGCTCTAATTAGCTTTGAACATAAATTGTAAAACTTTGTTGTCCCATGGGTATACTTAGGTCATAAATATTGTCACAGAAGTCGTAAGGAAAATATAGTTCCTGCTTATATTTAATTAGACATTGATTAGAGGAGAATTTTAAGATTTTGAGAATCAATTATTTGTTAGCTATGTTCATACAAGTATTGATTAATCTAAATTTAGATCGAAGTTACATCTTTGAAATAATAATGTTTATAATTTTTTTTTGCCACATTTTACCACTTCTAGTTTAATTCTGTAAAATTTTTATAAGTTGAACCACCAGCTGATTTATTCATATTTTGTTTTAACTGGTCATGTAAGTGTTACAAAAATATTTAACAAAAACATGAATAAAACTTTGGGGTAACTTTAGATATAAATTTTACCAGAATTTCATTAAAAAAAAAGAGACGAAAGATAACAAAGAGAGAATTAGAACTTAAAAAGTCGATAAGACAAAATTATGGCAAGAAACAAAAAAAAAGACTAAAAGACAGGTCCATAAAATACTCCTTTGAAAACTATAGACAGAGCAGTATGAACCCCACCAAACACCATGTGGTTTGTGTAATTTTTGTGATGTAATGCTAGGGGGTACCATGATTCAGACTTTGCATAGTGCTCACAATTATATTGAAGATGTACAAGCAGTCAGGATCATAAAAGCAATTTACCTTGTGGTTTGCTAATTTACAAGAAAACTGTGTATTATAATTATTATTTCTGTTCATTTACTTTGAAATTATAATTTCAAAACTGGTTCGTGAATGCTTAATTATTTAATTTTTCAGAGAAATACTGGGAGATGTGTTCATTCAGTGAGTCTACAGCTTTAAAGTTGGCCATGGCTTGTCCTGAAGAGTTTGTTAACCATAATAAACGATTTCTATCTCGTATTTATCCTAATGGAATGAGGGTGGATTCAAGTAATTATAATCCACAAGATCTCTGGAACTGTGGCTGTCAGATGGGTTAGTTATTGAATTAATAATAGTTCAACACAGGGTTAGCATTATGGTATGTTCAAAAGAGCTGGTTACAGGGGTGGTGGTATCTTTGGGGCTCTCATTTAACCAACAATGTTACTAGCCTAGTGCTAATGAAATATTCTAGTGTAATTATAATTGACAAATTGTGAAGGAGGAAATTTCTTACATTGAATAACAAAGCTTAACATGAATTGGAGAGTAGGGAGAATACATGACATATAGACATATTCTATTTCAATGGAGTTGAAAATTAGAAATTAGTATAAACATGAATTTATATGCCTTCTTTTTATTAAATAAAAGTAACTGGCAAATATCTTTATTTGAATATTGGATACCTCATAGGTTTAAAGTTTATATATAAAAGTTAGGGAATATATGTTCTGTGATTGCCAACTTTAATTATCTATTGTTTGATTTTATATGATTTCAGTGGCCTTGAACTATCAGACAGCAGGGTTGATGATGGATTTATATAATGGCTTCTTCCTAAAGAATGGTGCATGTGGTTTTGTATTAAAACCCGCCATTATGAGAGAAGAAATTGCTTATTTTAGTGCCAATACTAAAGATGTGATACCAGGTGTATCTCCACAGATACTGCATATAAAGGTATAGGGTGTGTTTAAAGTCTGATGTATTGATTATTGAGTGTTTCAAAGTCCTATGTAATGAGGTTTTCAAAGTCCTATGTATTGAGGTTTTCAAAGTCACATGTATTGAGGTTTTCAAAGTCACATGTATTGAGGTTTTCAAAGTCACATGTATTGAGGTTTTCAAAGTCACATATATTGAGGTTTTCAAAGTCACATGTATTGAGGTTTTCAAAGTCAAATGTATTGAGGTTTTCAAAGTCACATGTATTGAGGTTTTCAAAGTCACATGTATTGAGGTTTTCAAAGTCAAATGTATTGAGGTTTTCAAAGTCACATGTATTGAGGTTTTCAAAGTCACATGTATTGAGGTTTCATTCATAAAAATAGGGACACTAATAAGAACTATGTCATAAATTGACTAAAATTGTTTAATAACATTTCATGATTTGAATTTTACTCGAATTACAAGAAATTGCAAAATTTAATTACATAATAATATGAAAGAGATATATTAAATGTATGCTGTCAGCCAAATGTCAGGGCTATAACAAAAACTGTTTTCATAGACCTTAAGAGCAAAAAAGAGGCGGTTTATTAGTCTATGTTTGTAGGTCTGTTCTTCAGACCATTAGTATTTCAGTTTGCTCCATTTAAGGTTTGATCGCATTTTTCTCAAGAACTACAAATCAAGGCTTTAGAAAATTTGAAGATTTTCCAGTTTTCGGACAATAACTCAAGAATGCTTTCACTAACTTGCAAGAAATTGTGGTGAATTGTTTATATCTATTGACATGAGCTCCCTTTCGATTTTTATAAATTTTAGATTTTACGTTTCCGAGTTACAGGGTTTTATTCATAAAAAAGGGGGATTTTCCAGTTTTCGGACAAAAACTCAAAAATGCTTTCAGCAGTTCTTATGAAACTATGGTGAATTGTTTATATCTATTTAAGTAAGCTCCCTTTAGAATTTTATAAATTTTACATTTTACATTTCTGAGTTGTGGGGTTTTATTCATTAAAAAAGGGGGGATTTTCCAGTTTTCGGACAATAACTCAAAAATGCTGTCAGCAATTCTCATGAAACTTTGGTGAATTGTTTATTGTCGAGCCTGTGACTTTTGTCGCAGAAAGCTCGACATAGGGATAGTGATCCGGCGGCGGCTACGGCGGCGGCGTTAGCTAACTTCTAAAAAGCTTTATATTTTAGAAGGTGGAAGGTCTGGATGCTTCATACTTTGTATATGGATGCCTCATGTTACGAAGTTTCCGTCAGTCACATGCCCAATGTCCTGTCATGTCATTTTCATGGTTCAGTGACTACTTGAAAAAAAAGTTAATATTTTTTGTAATGTTAAATTCTCTCTTATTATAAGTAATAGGATAACTATATTTGGTATGTGCGTACCTTGCAATGTCCTCATGCCCGTCAGACAGTTTTCACTTGACCTCGTCCTCATTTCATGGATCAGTGAACAAGGTTAAGTTTTGGTGGTCAAGTCCATATCTCAGATACTATAAGCAATAGGTCTAGTATATTCGGTGTATGGAAGGACTGTAATGTGTACATGTCCAACTGGCAGGTGTCATCTGACCTTGACTTCATTTTCATGGTTCAGTGGTTATAGTTACGTTTTTGTGTTTTGGTCTGTTTTTCTTATACTGTATGCAATAGGTCTACTATATTTGGTGTATGGAATGATTGTAAGGTGTACATGTCTAGCTGGCAGGTGTCATCTGACCTTGACCTCATTTTCATGGTTCAGTGGTCAAAGTTAAATTTTTGAGTTTTGGTCTTTTTTTCTAATACTATATGCAATATAGTTCAACTATATTTGGTATGTGCGTACCTTGCAAGGTCCTCATGCCCGTCAGACAGTTTTCACTTGACCTCAACCTCATTTCATGGATCAGTGAACAAGGTTAAGTTTTGGTGGTCAAGTCCATATCTCAGATACTATAAGCAATAGGTCTAGTATATTCAGTGTATGGAAGGACTGTAAGGTGTACATGTCCAACTGGTAGGTGTCATCTGACCTTGACCTCATTTTCATGGTTCAGTGGTTATAGTTAAGTTTTTGTGTTTTGGTTTGTTTTTCTTATACTGTATGCCATAGGTCTACTATCTTTGGTGTATGGAATGATTGTAAGGTAAACATGTCTAGCAGGCAGGTGTCATCTGACCTTGACCTCATTTTCATGGTTCAGTGGTCAAAGTTAAGTTTTTGAGTTTTGGTCTTTTTTTCTAATACTATATGCAATATAGTTCAACTATATTTGGTATGTGCGTATCTTGCAAGGTCCTCATGCCCGTCAGACAGTTTTCACTTGACCTCGACCTCATTTCATGGATCAGTGAACAAGGTTAAGTTTTGGTGGTCAAGTCGATATCTCAGATACTATAAGCAATAGGTCTAGTATATTCGGTGTATGGAAGGACTGTAAGGTGTACATGTCCAACTGGCAGGTGTCATCTGACCTTGACCTCATTTTCATGGTTCAGTGGTTATAGTTAAGTTTTTGTGTTTTGGTCTGTTTTTCTTATACTGTATGCCATAGGTCTACTATATTTGGTGTATGGAATGATTGTAAGGTGTACATGTCTAGCAGGCAGGTGTCATCTGACCTTGAACTCATTTTCATGGTTCAGTGGTCAAAGTTAAGTTTTTTGAGTTTTGGTCTTTTTTTCTAATACTATATGCAATAGTTCAACTATATTGGGTGTATGGAAATATTTTATGATCTATTTGGCAGTCACAAAGGTTTTATTTGACCTTGACCTCATTTTCAAGGTTCATTGCTCAGTGTTAAGTTTTTGTGTTTTGGTCTGTTTTTCTTAAACTATTAGCAATAGGTCAACTATATTTGTTGTATGGAAGAATTGTTAGCTGTACATGCCTGCCTAGCATGGTTCATCTGACCTTGACCTCATTTTCATGGTTTATTGGTCAATAATTAGTTTACTTGGTTAATGTTAAGTTTATGTGACAGTTGTAATAAAGCTTTATATTTAGGACTATCAACATAATATCAATGATTAGTAAAGAAGGCGAGACATTTCAGCGTGTGCACTCTTGTTTGTAATACTGTATGCAATAGGTCAACTATTTTTGGTGTATGGAAATATTTTATGATCTATATGCAGTCACGCAGGTTTCACTTGACCTCGACCTCATTTCATGGATCAGTGAACAAGGTTAAGTTTTGGTGGTCAAGTCCATATCTCAGATACTATAAGCAATAGGTCTAGTATATTCGGTGTATGGAAGGACTGTAAGGTGTACATGTCCAACTGGCAGGTGTCATCTGACCTTGACCTCATTTTCATGGTTCAGTGGTTATAGTTAAGTTTTTGTGTTTTGGTCTGTTTTTCTTATACTGTATGCAATAGGTCTACTATATTTGGTGTATGGAATGATTGTAAGGTGTACATGTCTAGCTGGCAGGTGTCATCTGACCTTGACCTCATTTTCATGGTTCAGTAGTCAAAGTTAAGTTTTTGAGTTTTGGTCTTTTTTTCTAATACTATATGCAATAGTTCAACTATATTTGGTGTATGGAAATATTTTATGATCTATTTGTCAGTCACGCAGGTTTTTTTTTTACTTTGACCTCATTTTCAAGGTTCATTGCTCAGTGTTAAGTTTTTGTGTTTTGGTCTGTTTTTCTTAAACTATAAGCAATAGGTCAACTATATTTGTTGTACGGAAGAATTGTTAGCTGTACATGCCTGCCTAGCATGGTTCATCTGACCTTGGCCTTATTTTCATGGTTCATTGGTCAATGTTTAGTTTACTTGGTTAATGTTAAGTTTATGTGACAGTTGTAATAAAGCTTTATATTTAGGACTATCAACATAATATCAATGATTAGTAAAGAAGGCGAGACATTTCAGCGTGTGCACTCTTGTATCTATTGATGTAAGCTCCCTTTTGATTTTCATAAATTTTTAATATGACATTGAGAATTAATTGAACTTTATTTGTTTATAGTCTGACAACAGATTTACTAAGTATTGCACAACAGCACAGTGTATTGCACAACAGCAAGAAATCTTTAATTGAATATAAATTCAATTCATATAACCAATTTCAAGTTCTTTGACTACATTTATTCAGAAACCTGTAATATGTCAAATATTTAATTACAATCCAAATTCAGACCTGTATCAAGCTTGAATATTGTGTCCATTTTTGCCCCAACTGTTCAGGGTTGGACCTCTGCGGGCGTATCTAGCTGCGCTCAGCGAAGCAGTTTATTTTTTAATTATGTCAAAATGACCGTCTCTTGAGGAAGCCTTGAAAACTAAAAGTAGATGACTGTTTCATGCTTTTCCCAGACGGACAATGTCCGGTAAATTTATAAATGTCCGGAATATATGACCGTTTTGGAAGCCATGATGGCGCAGCTCTTTATTTTAATATTCATCCCTTATTAACTTCATGGAATGGATTAACAATAGTGAGCAAATATGTTTAATATGTAAATACATATGTAAAATGATAGATAAATTAATGTGTGTTATATTTGGTTCATACAAAGTAATGGATAGGAAATCTCATTATCTCATCTTATCATACCTGGAATTTATATTTTTATAGGTGATTAGTGGTCAGCATTTTCCTAAACCTAAAGGATCAGGATCCCGAGGAGATGTGACAGATCCATATGTTACCGTAGAAATATTTGGTATTCCTGCCGACTGTGCTGAGGAGAGAACCAAAACTGTTCCACATAATGGTAATTCTTGTATAAATAAAGTTATTTTTCAAATGACAAACATTGGGGCTTCCAATTAAAACCATAAACAGTTATTGAAAAATCACTATAAACTCATAAGGGTCATATGATCAATTGTCAATATTGGGGATTCAAAGAGGGAACCAAAAATTCATCAAAATCATTATTGCAAAATCATTAAAAACACACAAGGGTCAGGAGGTCAAATCACAAACTTTGGGGATTTGAAACAGAGAGTCTAAACTGTACTACAAAATGATTATTGCAGCATTACCAAATTGATAAGGATCATATAGGTGTCCTTATTAAAAACTCGTAAAAGCCAGAATGTGACTAAAATAAAATAAGTTGAGACAATTTTTTTTTTATTCTTGTGTTTAAAAATTTTGGACTTGTTTGGTTTTACATATTTTTTTAAGAGAATTTGACTTTAGTTACATCTATCATACTTTATTTTCTAGGTATAAATCCTATATTTGACGAGAGTTTTGAGTTCCAGATTAACTTGCCAGAATTAGCATTAGTACGTTTTGCAGTACTAGATGATGACTACATTGGAGATGAGTTCATAGGTCAATATACAATACCATTTGAATGTATGCAAACAGGTAATATATACCATCCTTACATACTGATATTAACCAACACACAAGTAAATCCATACTAGATACATCATGCCAAATGTTAATATGCCTATTCTAAGTCAAGAACCTCAACTATAGTTGTATTTAGTTTCATCTCAATGTTTTTTATTCTTTATGGAATGACAACAGACTTTAGCCCTCTTTTGATTTAGGGGTTCCTGTACTTTAGGGTTAGGTGTGGTTAGTTCTAGGTTAGGGTTAGGTATGGTGGTTAGGTGTGGTTAGTTCTAAGTTAGGGTTAGGTGTGGTTAGTTCTAGGTTAGGGTTAGGTATGGGTAAGTTTAATGTTAGGTTTAGGGTAATGGTTAGTTTTGTATAGCTTTATTTGGGTTGGAACCCAAAAAGTAAAAGAAAACTCAGATAATATTGATTGTTTTTATTCACAACTTTTCTATGCTCAGAGTCATTTAGAGCTTTAAATAATTTATAGACCATTATCTGTTATTAAAAATTTTTTTGACCTAGATGTTTTATTTTGTTTTTTTGTTGGGTTGATGTCTCACTTGCAAACACCACATATCTCTGTCTAATTCATTTACATATTGTTATTCACCTGTGTGCCATATTTTACTTATAACATATGAAAGTGAGAAAAAGACGTTGTCCAGGTTTATAGAAGAAAGGAGTCATTTATGTAATAAAGAAGTTTTATAGTTTCTTTGTAGTTGTAAAAATTGAACATTTTTATGCCCCCACAGCTGTAGAGGTGGTATTAAGTGTTACCCTTGTCTGTTCTTCTGTACATCCCAAAATTAGTTCTGTTCTCTAACTTTATTTTGCCTCAAACTTATACACAATGCTTATTACTCCAAAACACATATCAAGTTCAAATTTGGGTTGCGTCACTTTTACCGTTCTTGAGTTATGTCCCTTTATAACGTTATATGCAAGAAGGGGCATCATCTGTGTCCATGTTCTCCATATATTTTAACTAAATATAGTTTTCCAAAATAAAGGCATTGAGTGTATTAGTAAAGAAGGAAGTAAATATATTTCCTAAAAGATTTGCTGTATGAAATGCATAGGAAACTCAAAGAAATGAAAAATCAATTGATTGTGGTCAAAAATATGTTTTATTTCCATTTCAGGTTATAGACACATTACTATGCTTTCAGCCAGTGGTGATCCTATAGAAAATTGTTCTTTATTTGTACACGTTGCCATTACAAATAAAAGAGGGGGAGGGGTAAGCTAATTTCCATGTTAAGATACAAATAGATATATAGACCACAGCAGTGGTGTTCTTCCATGACGTGACACACTTGTAATTAAATGGCTTGTGAAAATTGGTTTATTTTACAGTATTTGAAGCATGTGGTGTGGTATTTTTATGAATTTGCAATTCAGGAAGATATATAAATTAAGAACATGATTACTGAAAATTAAACAATACAGGCTTCACCTTTAAAAGTTAAGTTTAGATGGTTAAATTTCTTCAGTAAAAATTTAAGCAAAATCTTGGCTTTGATTCCTCCCAAAATAAAATGAATGAATTTCCCCACTCATCTTCCTTCCACATTTTTATCAACTATAAACATAAGTATTTCAACAATAGAATACTAGTAAAAAATTATTTCATTGCAAATTTATTACTACAAAAAAAGTAAAAATACATGATTTTGTTGAACAGAAAAGTCACAGAAGAGGGATGTCGGTGAAGAAAACAAAGAGAAAGAAAGATTACACAAGTATGAAGTCTGTTGGTGTTAAAAGTGTGGATGAAACATTCAAGGTAATTCATGTTGAAAGAATTCTTTTTAAGGCTAGAATTAACCAGCTTTATGGTTTCAAAGGATTATGTGAAGAAGATATTCACAGAATTTTTTTTCAGGTTATTCAAGAATAATTGCACTGAAAATAGGTCTTTGATATTATACTGGTCAGAGTTGTTAATTCTGACTTGATACAATATCAATAGAACATGTGTTATCTGATTAATTGTTATTTGAATGTTTTAATTATTTGAATAAGTATTAAAAGAGATGTATGTGCATTGTCTGGTCAGTTAAATACCTTAAAATATAGATAACGTTTGATTCTCACTGTCGCCCCAACAAATATGTTAGAGTTATGCCCTTGACTTATTTTGAAAATGGCAAAAACAAATTCTTATTGTAACATTTATTTGCTTTGAGCTAGGATGTTATAATAAAGTATCTACTATGAATTTGTATTCATATTCAATTACAAATTTGTTGCATTAACTGTTCCAGAGTTATTGCCCTTAAAAAAATAAGGAGGTGTGATATGATTACCAATGAGACAACTATCCATAAAAAGACCAAAGGACAAGGATGTTATAACTATAGGTCACTACACAGCCGTCAACAATGAGCAAACTTATACAGTATAGGAAGCTATAAAAACAACAGATAACAAGCTATAAAAAGCGACAGATAAAAGCTTAAAAAAACAACAGATAACAGGCTATTAAAAGCAACAGATAACAACATGTATAACAAAATAGCAGAGAGCACTTATGGCCTGATTGAAACTTAAAACATTTAATAAAAAACAGTTATGACAGACAGCAACTATTATGCCTATTTAACTTTTACAACTTAATGCAGTGAATGTACTTGTTCATGATACATGTTCATTAATGAGTGCTAGATTGAATGTATGACAAATATTATCTTAGTTTTGACATAAACAAAGTTCCAATCCAAGCAAAGTGCTTTATATACTCATTTTTTACCTAACTGAATATAGAATATGAGAGAACTGAAATTGATTTCTCAGCAAAACATGAAAATTCAATAATGAGATTGATGGAGTTTCTTCAACAATGAATATATTTTGTAGGTAGCAATACAGCCTTTGAGGGATGGTACAGATTTACGGGACTCTGTTCAGCTGGCTTTGGCAGAGTTTAAAGAAATCTGTGGATTGTCCCCCATAGCTAATATAAAACAGTGTATCCGTCTCCTAGCAACCAGAGTATCTAACTCATCGGAGCAGGCCTCCTTAAACCTTATTATGAAGGGAGATGTGAGTATCTAATTTAATGGAGCATCCCTTCTCATAATATGTAGTGTGAGATCCGTCACATAAGAACCCAACATCGCTTTAATTAATTTACTTTCTGAAAATTATGGTAGAAAAAGTTTTAAGATATCTATTTGGCTTTCAGTAACCTCATGTTACACAAATTCAAACACAAACATTAAAAAAAACCAAACATCCACAGATATCAAAAGGCTTAACAAAACAAGGAGCATTTTTTGAAGGGTTAGACATACCTACAGTTTACTAATGTCATGATACTCATGGTAAAATACAGAAGTCAGTCAAGTGGAGTATAAGTTAAATATGAGAGGAAAGAAATCATTCGTGGTCATCATTGACAAATATTTAATAACAGTCATCCAGGTCAAGATGGCAACAGGTTACATGAATTCAACTCTTGAGTAAATGGTATAAGGGAGATAATTATCATTTAGAATTATTTATGATGTTCTATGTTTCAGTATCCCTATTTAGAAGCTCAAGGAAATCTTCCAGATATATTAAAGAAAGCTCTAATATCTTTTGATGAGGTAATATATGTTTACAATATTCAATTAGTTATTGTAATCCCCTGATGAGTTTGATTTTAGTCAAATGCAGGTGTATATGTTACCAGTGTTTCAGCTTGATCCTTTTCAGAGGGCACAACACACACATTATTTTTTACTGACACCCTATTCCTTTTTTATGCCTGTTGAAGACAGGACATATTATAGTATACCATTATCTGTGTGTCTGTCCATCCTTCCGCCAACACTTCATACGAAAACTCACATTAGCTTTAACAAATGCTCATGATATTTTAACTGAGCAGTAGGATTATAAGAAGAAAGCTTGCATTTCAATTATGAAACTTTTTAGCATTGTTGTTACAGAGTAAAAAACTTATCAAAGATACAAGACTTATAATTTTGTGAGCCAATGATGTATGGTTATGTTTTGATTATTTTAGTTATTTGTTTTCATTTTAGCTGGTAGCAGAGTGTAAAAATTTGATAGACCAAGCAGATGGAGTTTATGAAAGGGTAACTATCTTATATCGTTATATATCTTTATGTGGAAGTCATTCAATGTCTCATATCATGATAAATTTATATCTGCACTTCAACTGTGTTTTTTTTAAAGTTATACAGTCCAACCTGTATTAATCAGTCACTCTTTGGAACTATCAAAAGTGACTGCTCAAGAGAGGTGACCTTTTAAACAAGTGACCTTTTAAACAAAGGTCCGAAAAAATACTGATTTTGACATCACCTGTGCCTGGGATCAATACAAATTGTTTTAATGTTTTCAGTTGGTAGAGTTATCGTACTTGCTTAAAATTGGAAGACAAATTTGAAGTATATTAATAGTTGTGGAGAAATAAGTTGTTGATACAGTTTTGATGAGTTCACAATTTAACTTCCATTACGGATCTCATTTGCAAGTGGGTTTTGACTTTCATTTTAAATTTCAATACTGATTTTGTCATAATTATTTTGGTAGTTCAAACCATTATTAAATGTTGAAAAGACGATTTTGTGTGGAAACCATGTGACCACTGACTGCGTTAGACAGGTGACCACTGAAACGAGTTAAATTATATAGATAAAACAATTGGGAGGGTCTGAAAGTGACCGCTGAAACAAGGTGACCGTTATGGCAGGTTTGACTGTATTTGTATTTTCCATACTATTATTGTCAATGTTTGAAAAAAGTGATATTATAAGAACCCACAGCTCAAGACATATTTATTGTCTGATCAACTAGATGCTTTTCCTGACCCATTTGTGAAAAGCCATACAGACCAGAATGGAAATTTGTATTGACATATCTCTTCTGTATTAAATATTCACATAAAACTTGTATGTAATATTTTTACAGTTAATCCATTCTCAGAGAGCTGGACTAGAGTGGCATGAAGATTTAGAAAATGTTTGTACAAATGCTGGACTTAAAGGGAAGAAATTAACCAAGGTATTTTAAAGGTTTTATTTTATTGTACCATTAGAACATAATGAACCCAAGTAGGTTAGTTAGACATATCTAATTTAGTAAGGTTTAGCTGCAATGGTTGCTGTTACCAAAGATAGAAAGTAAAAAAAGAGTTTTTGATGGTAATGTCATATACTTTGACCAAGAAAAATTAGTAATTCTTTGGAATGATATCAATTTATCACATTAAGGGCTGTTCTCAAAAAGCATACATTGGACCTAAGGAAGGCACTTAAAAATTACAAATACAGGAGGGTGGCTTTATACAGTGAATATGCAAAAGAAGTTTTAAAATTGCATTTATAGGTTGTCAATTTCATTTTCAAAGTGACTTCCCTGTGTACCATGTATGCTGTAATGGAACAGCCAGTATTGGTGATAGGAAATGGGGGCTTTAAGGTTTACCCTTGTCCATCCGTACACCTCCAAATTGGTTTCCGTTCTCTAACTTGAGTTTGCCTGAACCAAATGTTATGAAACTTATACATAATGCTTATTACAACCAAACACAGATCAAGTTCAAATTTGGGTAGTCACTTTCACCGTTCTCTAGTTATGTCTTTTTACTAATGGAAAAACTGCTGAATTTGCTGTATTTTTACAACCAGGGGCATCTTTGTCCATCCATCTATGTTTGATGGACACATTCTTCTTTTATTTATAATAGCTTCTTCTGTCTCTTTTTAAAGTATTTTTTGTGTGATTAATAAGTGAAAACTGTTTTTTCCAAATAATGCTGCAGTCAAGCTTATATGGAAAATCACTTATATTCAATAAGGGCTGATTACTCTTGAGACGAATGACATTTACTGATTTTTAGCAATCATCAATCATATCAATGAATCACATTTATTTATTGCTTTATTTTAAGGCTATGGAAAACTTTGCATGGAATATCCGAGTCCTCAAGGGTCAGGCAGACCTACTAATGCAAGCTAAGCATGACTGTAAAGAATATCTTAGACAGGTAAGTTACAAATCTAATCTTAGACAGGTAATTTTTCCAATTTTGAAGACTTAGGAATTTACTAACTTTTCAGCAAAGTTTTCAAAAGACCGTATGAATTTTGTGTACCTGTAATCAACTTCTGTGATCCTTGAAACTTTACAGTACGGACATCTATTGAAGTTGTGCACCTCCCGTGATAGATTTGTTTGATATGAATATTTTCCTCAATTTCTATATTTTACATTTCCTTATACTTATTATAAATCATTTTCCATTGATTAAGAAACCATCTACACAACCATGCCATTTTAGTCTTTGATCAATCTTTTTGTGATGAAGATTGTAGTATTGATATAGAATGTCTGGAATAAATACAATGTTTGTTTTATTTATTAGATCGTAGAGACATCTGGTTCTACTGGTCTGAGGAAGGAAAGTGATGCTGATGATGAGGACCTAGATATTCAGAACAGTCCACTTTGAATACGTCAGGTAAGCTTCACTTTGAATAGGTCAGGTAAGCTTCACTTTGAATAGGTCAGGTAAGCTTCATATTTTAGATAACTCAGATTTGTATGCCCTACAGAGTCATGAAATGTTAACCATCCCAGTCTTGCTTCATTCCAAAATCTAACAGCTTTTCAGATTTTTGGGTTAATCCTGTAGATATTAGGCTGATAAGTGATCTGTAAGTGTGTAATAGTGAGGTAGTGTTTTAGTTTCGGATGACCAACCTTTCTAAGAATTATGGCACTTTAACTCACACAATTTTATGAATTGTACACATGTGCAGATTTTTTTCCTCATGCCTGAAGATGTTTAGCTGAATTTTGATACAATCATGTGTGATTATGTTATACAGATAGATTTCAATTTTGTTTGTAAGCAGAGGCATTAAGGTTGTCTTATAACAACCAGTTATAAAAACTTCAATCTTTAAAATGTCATACTGTAAATTCAGAAATTATTGCAAGCATTTATTATTCCTGTTTTGACATGACTAATAAAAATTTGGAGTCAATTATTGCACTTCCAAGTAAATTTTAATATAGATATTTCTCTAATGGTTGTAATCTGTTAACTTTCTAGCATGAAGATATTTTTCACGAAGTGTGATCGAAAAAGTCATACAAAAGATTCATTAATTTGATTGGCTTATCCAGCTTCGTGAAATGATATTGTGGCATATCCATTAGTTAAAGGTTAGGTCATTGATGACTTTCAAAAGGTCTGAACAACGTTTACTTTTCTACATTGGCTAGAGGTATAGGGGGAGGGTTGAGATCTCATAAACATGTTTAACCCCGCCGCATTTTTGCGCCTGTCCCAAGTCAGGAGCCTCTAGCCTTTGTTAGTCTTGTATTATTTTTAATTTTAGTTTCTTGTGTACAATTTGGAGTTTAGTATGGCGTTCATTATCACTGAACTAGTATATATATTTGTTTAGGGGCCACCTGAAGGACGCCTCCGGGTGTGGGAATTTCTCGCTGCATTGAAGACCTGTTGGTGACCTTCTGCTGTTGTCTGTTCTATGGTCGGGTTGTTGTCTCTTTGACACATTCCCCATTTCCATTCTCAATTTTACATATGCAATTTCTTCAATAAAATAGATATTGGGTAATGGGATATTTTTGGCTGACATTTTGAGTATCTGATTTGCCAGAGTATACTGTTTATGAATATTTCGTCACAATTAGTCAGCAACATTGAGCAATTAGCAAGCAATAGCTGACAGTACATTTTGTTTTACAATTGGAAGGAAAAGCTTGATTCTACAATTCAAAATATTATGAATTTGTTATTAATGAAAGACGAACAAGTGAGTGAAAATGAACACCTTATTTAACAATGCCCTACAAATCATTATAAAACAACATATGATTAATATCACGAATATTCGATTCTGAAGTCTTCAAATTCGTCACTCGATTTTTTTTTCAGAAAACTAAAACCACGAATTTAAGAACCCATGAACATGTAACTTTTGCTGAAACCATGAAAATTGATACCCACGAATAAAAATACTTTCACAGTAATTAAATATGTTGATTGTTTTTATTTCAGAAACGGACTAGATGTAGTCCATGAAGGTCACATAATGAGTAAAACAAACCAGACAATGTCCTCATCAAGGAAGACAATTCTAGTGTAGATTGGTGTCATAGATTTTAAGTTCTAGACATGAAGAGTTTGAGGCTCTACAATAATGCCAGATTCTCCATTACATATATGGTGCATCATTTTATATACTGATAACAAAACCTGGTGTTATATCAGTTAACCTTCAGACAAGTAGCTATTGTAACTGATTGGCAAAAAAATAATTATAATGGTATAAATTATACATTGTACAAATAATCTTTATTATAGAGCCTTTGAAATGAAGTAATGTAACAATTAGAGTTGCTTCTCCTTATTGATCTGTTTGCTATAGATTGACATTTATAATTCAGTGTAATTGACAATATTTATGATTTGCTTGTGTTCAAATATATAAAAATGGTGATGTATCTAAAGGGAGATAATTTCATAATAAGGACAAAAACAAGAAAAGAATAATGACGAAGGTCAAAAACTGGGTTGCTCAAGATGTTGCCTGTCGGTTCATTTATTGCTTGTTATATTTATTTTGTTTATGTTTGTATGTTAATTATGTTAATTAATTTTGTTCAGGGTAGAAATGATACAAGTGTTAAGTAGGTAGAATTCATACAATGAAGCATGGTAGTAATTAATTCTGTCTCAGGTACAATTCCTTTTTCTTCTCTTTATGGGTTTTCCTGGTCATGTATTAAACTTTGTCCCATATTCAAATCATGTTTGTTCTTTTCGTGGTGGTTCATTGTCAAATTTTGTCAAATTTGTTTACGTACATGTTTAATCCTCTATGTTCTCTCCGAGGTGTTTCATTGAACATTGTCCTGAGAAAATTTGTGATTGTCTTCTCCGCAGAGTTTATGGTCAAATTTTAAAACTTTGTTTCAATACATGTTTAATCCTCTTTGTTCTCTTCGTGGTATTTTGTCAAACTTTGTCTTAGAGTACAATTCCTGTTTGTCTTCTCCATTGTGTTTCAGTTCTAAGCAGAAATAGATATTACTTCAATTCACTTTCACAGACTTGTATGTGTTAACCATCCATTTTAATGCCCCACCTACGATAGTAGAGGGGCATTATGTTTTTCGGTCTGTGGGTCCATTCGTCCGTTCGTCCGTCTGTCCCACTTCAGGTTAAAGTTTTTGGTCAAGGTAGTTTTTGATGAAGTTGAAGTCCAATCAACTTGAAATTTTGAACACATGTTCCCTATGATATGATCTTTCTAATTTTAATGCCAAAATAGAGTTTTGACCCCAATTTCACGGTCCACTGAACATAGAAAATGATAGTGCGAGTGGGGCATCTGTGTACTATGGACACATTCTTGTTTAATAAGGCTACCTATTTTGTTTCCAGATTTATAATATAAAGCAATGTATCCGAGCTAGCACAAACTATGTCCTGTGTTCTTGCACCTAAAAAGTAAGTGGCATAATCAGGTGAAGTTGTGTGGAATCTGACAGTAATGTTTGACTTTGTAACATTGATGTCAAAAAATGGATCGCAAAAAAGATGGTTAAAGAATGAAAATTGTTAATAGCTTACATTCATCAATCTTCAGCCATGTTAACACAATTTTCATCAACAGAGAACTCTGTCTGTCCTTGCTTTAGGAGTTTTCCAAATATTCAAAATTTTATATGATTTTTTTTTTATGATAATTGATTACATTTTAAGTAATCAGTCATTAATTTTTTCAGATATTTAATAGATTGTTTTATTTTTTAGTCATGTGATACAATGTTTAACACATAATAATATAGACATGTGTTCAGATAAACAGTAGTATACAAATGAATCTCATCCATTTTTTATTTCTTTAATCATGTATAAAAGTCGTTTAATTAGTGTGTAATGAATCATTAGTGCTATATATATCTATCTATGTATATGTTATAATTTGTATGTTTATATAAAAAAATCTAGTATTTAGTAAAGCTAAGTTGAAAATGTGTATGAACTTGTGTCCAAAGAAGTACAGTATGCAACTATTCGTAGATATAAAATTCACCATTATCAGTGATTATATAATAGCAATTATTAGATATACATTCTCTGATTCTTTAACGAATTTCTTGAATCTGTTTTTATTAAAAGATTAGAATGTCATTAAACAAAAAGCAAATTTAGAAAAGTTTTCAATTAAACAAATCTGTTATTTCTTGTTTAGTCAATTTCTGTTATGTACTAAGGGAGGTAATTCTGATTTATTTTTGTATTTAACAGTATTCTATCCATACACAGTTTTGAGAAAAATTTGGTGGGACAAAATAAAATCATCAAATCATGGCTTTTCCCAGTTGATAATTGGACAATTAACTTATTTTTATAAGTCAACGATGTTATTATAATACCTGTGACATATAGTGGTCAATACATTTCGGACACTATCTTTTAATCTAGTCTTATGTAAATTATAGAATCTCAGAAAGATAAAGTTTTGTTTTAAATATTTGTTTGTGGTGGTACTTAGTTTGATTTTTGTGTTGTTTGCTCTTTTAACTAGAGTTACAACCAGTGTATGTATTTACAATTGACAGCCAGATAATTGTCTTGCCTGAGATAATTGTCTTGGCTGAGATAATCGTCTTGCCTGAGATAATTGTCTTGCCTGAGATAATTGTCTTGCCTGAGATAATTGTCTTGCCTGACATAATTGTCTTGACTGAGATAATTGTCTTGCCCGATATGATTGTCTTGGCTGAGATAATTGTCTTGCCTGAGATAATTGTCTTGGCTGAGATGATTGTCTTGCCTGATATGATTGTCTTGGCTGAGATAATTGTCTTGCCTGAGATGATTGTCTTGCCTGAGATAATTGTCTTGGCTGAGATATTTGTCTTGGCTGAGATAATTGTCTTGCCTGAGATAATATGATTGTTTTGACTGAGATAATTGTCTTGGCTGAGATGATTGTCTTGGCTGAGATAATTGTCTTGCCTGAGATAATTGTCTTGCCTGATATGATTGTCTTGGCTGAGATAATTGTCTTGGCTGAGATGATTGTCTTGCCTGAGATGATTGTTTTGACTGAGATAATTGTCTTGCCTGAGATGATTGTCTTGGCTGAGATAATTGTCTTGCCTGAGATAATTGTCTTGCCTGAGATAATTGTCTTGGCTGAGATAATTGTCTTGCCTGAGATGATTGTTTTGCCTGAGATGATTGTCTTGCCTGAGATGATTGTCATGAAGCAAGACACTGGTGTTACTGTTATAGTGACATCAACATCACAAACACCAAATGTAAAGTTTTCTCTTAAGTACATACTTTAGTCAGTCTTATTTCTTTGACTTAGTAACCTTTGTATTGTTAACATATTTGTTTTAATTAAATGTGTTAATTTAAAAGTACTTCTAAAAGACTATTCTTATTGTAAACCTGTTGCATTGACATTCCTGCATTTCATCTTTAAGTTGAGCATTAAGCTCCACCCCTTAGTCATCCATTAGTGAATGTCAGAGCATTAAGCTCCACCTCTTAGACATCCTTCAGTGACTGTTAGAGCATTTAGCTCAACCACTTGAGTCATTTTTCAGTGAATGTCAGAGCATTAGGTTCCATACTTTAGTCATCCTGCAGTGACTAAGAGTATTAAGCCCCACCCCTTAGTCCTCCTTCAGTGACTGTAAGAGGATAAGGTTCCATCCTTTAGTCATCCTTCAGTGACTTAGAGCATTAAGCCCCACCCCTTAGTTCTCCTTCAGTGACTGTGAGAGGATAAGGTTCCATCCTTTAGTCATCCTTCAGTGACTTAGAGCATTAAGCCCCACCCCTTAGTTCTCCTTCAGTGACTGTGAGAGGATAAGGTCCATCCTTTAGTCATCCTTCAGTAACTTAGAGAAATAAGCCCCACCCCTTAGTTCTCCTTCAGTGACTGTGAGAGGATAAGGTTCCATCCTTTTGTCATCCTTCAGTAACTTTAGAAGTTTATTATTGTGTAATTGTTAGATTCATTCAAACTTTGGCTCAGTATTGTTAACCTTGCTTGTAGATAGGACAGCTAATATGTAGGAAACACAGATTTGAGTGTATTTATACCTCCCATTCTATTTTCACATGTTAGGTACTTGACCAAGATTTGTTACTTTTATTAACAGCAGTAAAGTACATGACCAAGTAGTCAACAACCACATGGCATTTATACATGTATTGGAAAAATGGCTATCAATCAAGAAATAGTTCATTCAGTTTTTTTTATTTTGCTGAAAATACATTTATTTATTGTATATTTGATGTTTTTGTTGAGATTTTCTGTATGTGTTTTATTTTTGATGTGTTAAGCTTGAAGCAGGTATAATTATTTAGTCTTATTTTATTTTAACCTGTATATATATATATATATATCATGCCAGATGACAAATTTTGCCAAACATTTTGTCTTTCATTTTATTAAATGTGCTTATTTTTAAATAGCTGAATATAATTTTATTTTATGACCCTTGTTAATTATATTTTATTTGTTTAAAGTACAGTCTGGTGCAGTTATAACCCCACCTGTGTTCTATTAAATGTACTTTATCAATATTTATTTGGATTAATTTATTTTCTGATCAGTCTTGATGTTCCCTTTTTTATTCTTATGTATCATACCTTCTAAATTTTACACATGTTCACTTAGGTGAAATGTTACAGTTACACTTGTGCACTCAGGTGTAATGTTACAGTTACACATGTGTACTTATCTGTAAGGTTACAGTTACACATGTGTATTTAGCTGTAAGGCTACAGTTGCATATGTACACTTATGTGTAAGGTTAAAGTTACACATGTACACTTAGGTATAAGGTTACCCTTACACATGTACACTTATGTGTAAGGTTATAGTTAATTATGTACAATTAGGTGTTTGATTTCAGTTCACATATACACTTATGTTTATGGTTACATTCACACATGTACTCTTAAAGTAAGGTTACAGTTGCACATGTACACATATGTGTAAGGTTACATTTGCACATGTACACTGATATGTAATGTATCAGTTACACATGTATACTTATTTTTAAGGTTACAGTTACACATGTACACTAAGGTGTAATGTTACAGTTACACATGTACACTTATTTGTAGGTTATAGTAACACCATATGTATTTGTAAAGTAAATAACTTCATCTATCTAGTCATTCTGTTGTTTGTTATTATATTAATTTTGATGAATATTAGGTAATCCAACATTAATTATTACCTTTACTTAGGGTTTTATCTTTTCCTTCCTAAAAGAGAGTTATTTCAGAAATGAGAACAATAATTTAAATTTTGGGTTGATAAATATAGTATTTTTGTATATCACACAAATATTTTTTGAGAAATAGATAAAAACAAAAATCAAAATTAAAAGAATAATGATAATAATAAACGCATGTTCTTGACAAAACTGTGTTCATGTAACCAAAACCTGTCTCCTTGTTTCTTTACCTCAATTATTTTCTTTAATTTCTATGCGTGCATTAAATTAATAACCTATAAGAATTTTAACTTTTTTTCCCCTGCTTTGTTGAGCTGTTTTCATCACATCGTATCTCTCTGCTTTCTGAAAAAATACATGTCCCTTAGTCATTTCTGGGGTGACTTAGAATCACACTTTTTGTTAAACAGTCTTTAACAGTCTAGCTGAAATCAAAGATGGCCACCATGATTTATTTAATTTTGTGCTTAATTGGAATTATTTAAAGGCTCAATAAAGGAAAAAAATATAAGGGTATAATCAGTTTCACTTGCTCAATATGTCAAATAAAATGGCTACTTATATCTGAAATTTCCTCCTTACAAATTATTTTATTTACATACGTTGTACTTTAATCATTTGTATATTGCTCTTTTGTTGCTGTTCTCTAAAATTTATGATTTTGCTTTGTAAATTATGTAGTAAGACAGTAACCATGGTAACAACAACAGGTTTTGTGCAATCTTTTGATTTAAAGAAATCCAGATAGAGTACCTCAGAAATCATACTGAAATGGACAATTGTTTGATAAATAAATAGATATATATATATATATATAATGACATATTTTATATTATTCAGCAATTAATTTACTTGATGTAAGGGGGTTAGGCTAACTCTTTAAATTGAGTTTGTAAAAGGCAGTTTCATCAATGCTTCTAAAGATTTCATGTGAAACAGAATTAAATATTCTGTGTGACATAGAAGCTTAGAATATATTTATGAAAATGGTCGACTTAAACACAGTAGTGATTTTATAAGAGTTATGTCCCTTAACTACCTCCTTAATTTCATTTTAATGTAAGCTTAAGCATATTGCCTGCATAGCAAAAACCAGTTCAATATTCTATGATTTGTTACTCCAATGTCAGTTTTAATACATTTGTTTTGTATTTGATAGTATGCCTCGTATAGCATGACTGGTACCTGAATCAATTTATTTTCTTCATGATAACTTATATGTTGAGTATATTACTTAATAAGTAATTAATAAATAAATTGTAAAGTGCATCTTTTTTAGAATCTAAGAACTAGTTCATTTTTTGGTTATTATTTTTTTACATGTCAGTCAAATGCACTAGTCCTTCCAAGACATCATGTATTGATTTAAACATGAATAGCTCAATAACTCATTTTCATTATCAAATTTTAGGACATACATATATTGATATATTATTTTTTAAAGTAGGCATTTAAAGAATACTTTGTAGCTCTTACATACAATTTTCCTTTTTTTCTAATCCTTTGTCTCATGTCCCTTTTTTTAAAGGTAAATTAATATCTTAGTTGTCTCCCTTTTTTGATAGGTAAATGCATATTTTAGTTGTCTCTCTTATCTGATAGGTAAATTCCTATCTCAGTTGACTTTCTTTTCTGATGGGCTATTTCATATCTTAGTTGGCTCTCTTTTCTGAAGCTAAATTCATTTCTTAGTTGTTTCCCTTTTTGAAAGGCTATTTTAGATTTTAAGTTGTCTGGCTTTCCTGATAGGGTATTTTTGTATCTTAATTGTCTCCTATCTCTCTAGGTTATTTAATTTCTTTGATGTCAATATGGAGGTAAAATTTTTTGACATTTGATTCGTTAAAACATTTCTCAAAGCTGCCAATTTAATGATACCCAAAATTAATCTATTTTATTATTCCCTGTTTTAGAATTTCCATTCAAATCAATGAGTGACATAAAACAAAACAAAAATAAAAAATTCTATCTGAAAGGAAATTAAGAACAAACTATCAAAGGGAGGGAATTTTTTAAATGTAATCAGGAAGTAATTTACTAATTTCAATTTTGTTAGAAAACTTAGATTGTTTGTTACATATGTTGTTACTAATAAATATATTTGTTATCATCGACATGTGTTGCTATAGTTACAACATTGACCTTAACATTCTCATTCATAGCCTTTCATTCTTAGTTTAATTATTGCTGTTTAGAATATTGTGTATATAAGAATAACATCTTTAGTAGTTAATTGTGATACATCATGTTAATATTTTGCAGGCAATAAAATAACACTTAAATATTTATAGTCTTTTTCTTGTTAGGTCAGCTGGGCCAATCACTGTAAGCTTTTGCCATCATTTGGGTCTGTTGTTTTGCATTTTGAAAAAAAATGCAGTTAACCATAAGATGTTGCTTTCTAGCTCATATGGGATTTTCTGCCAATTGAAAAAAATGAAAACAAACCATTATAAATTGCATGCATCCGAAGCGCTTTTCTTGATTTACCTTCATCAGGAACGCTCAAAGCCTAATATTTGAAAGCCAAGGATAAGAACCAGAACTGTTGAAGAGCTATTTGACCAAAAAGAAATATGTTGAAGAGCTATAAGACAACAAAAAACCCAATTGAAAGTAAAAATTTAACTTGGGATACAATAGACATTTGATTTACTTAAGAGTTCCACTTGAAAATAAATACATTATCTCCATTATTGTATTATATGATATATGCAAATATCCTGTAAGTTGTCACAATTACTAGTCAACAAAGAGTACATAATCTCCATATATTTGTTAACATAAACACAAAATCTAAAAAAAAATATTATTTTATTCCAATTACTTTCCTTGCCATTTAGTTATATTGTTTTATTCCATTTACTTCCATTACCATTTAGTTATATTGTTTTATTCCATTTACTTCCATTGCCATTTAGTTATATTGTTTTATTCCATTTACTTCACTTGCCATTTAGTTATATTGTTTTATTCCAATTACTTCCCTTGCAATTTAGTTATGTTGTTTTATTCCAATTACCTCCCTTGCCATTTAGTTGTATTGTTTTATTCCAATTACTTCCCTTGCTATTTAGTTAATTGTTTTATTCCAATTACTTCCCTTGCCATTTAGTTATATTGTTTTATTCCAATTACTTTCCTTGCCATTTAGTTATATTGTTTTATTCCAATTACTTCCCTTGCAATTTAGTTATATTGTAACATCAGGATTTTAAAATTATTTAATGAATATCTTGACATAAATTAAAGTGTTTGAAGAAAATATATCAATGAAGTGGAATAAAAGTCTTATAGGATTGTAAGTATGCTTTATTTTATCTTCTTGCACTTTCACGACTTGACTGTAGCAGTTCGTTAAAATTTCTTACCAGTTGAACAGTTTGGTTTGATAAAACAAATTGCAATTTGGTCAGAATTTTGAATAAACGGCAATAGGTGTAAAGCTACACTTACAGTCAAGTATTTTTCTACAGCAGTTCCTTAAAATATCTGATGAGTTGAACAGTTTGGTTTGATAAATCAAATTGCAATTTGGTCAAAATTCCGTTCTCTAACTTTAGTCTGCCTGAACCAAATGTCATGAAACTTACACACAATGCTTATCACCCTTAAACACAGATCAAGTTCGAATTTGGGTGACGACACTTCTACATTTCTTTAGTTATGGCCCTTTATAATGTTATATGCAAATCGGGGCATCATCTGTGTCCCATGGACACATTCTCCATTTATTCCCTGATATAATAATGATTGGAACCAACTACCTGCCAATATCCTAATCCTAGCACATAGATCGGTCAACTCTTTCAAATCTTCAATCTCAAAATTTCAATATTAAATTCAGCTATATATAAAACCTATTATAAAAATTCCAATCTTGTGAAAGGTTAAGCTATAAAATCAGGTTTAACCCATCATTGTCTTCGGAAAATGCCTGTACCAAGTCAGAAATATGACAGTTGATTTCCACTCGTTCCGTTGGTTGATAACGTTTTCTTTTGTCAATTTTTATGGACTCCCCTTTTTGGATTTATCTTGGAGTTCAGTATCTTTTTTATACCATTTTATTTTTAACAGAATGAATTATTAAAATATTTTATTCTAGATAGTGCGACGGCAGAACTCGAACTGTAACTCAAATGTGAACAGTACTGTTAATGGCTAACAAGGGTACAGGTGACTTCACCTATCTTTACATGATACTCTAGGAGAATATATAATGTACGTATTCACAATAAGGTGGAGGCTTACCTGATAAATTTGATACACGAATTTCACAATGGTGAAACACAAATAAATATATCAAATGTCTTTATTTTTAATACATAAAAGATCATCGACTTCCTTGTTGATTTGAGCTTATTAAGACAATGATAAAATGTTGAATATAATCATCATGTTTAGTGTGAAAAGATTGTTTTCTTCAGCTAGGTAAGTAAATATAGACTATAGCAAATATGATGCATTGTTCAATAAGACTATTAAAAACAAAAAAGTCAAGGGATAGATAAACTTTAATCCGCCACATGTTTTTGAATGGTTGATGCAAACCAGTGTTGTATAACGGCCAGTTTAAGAAAGCCTGTCAAAAGTATATCTCCCTGTAGCATTGGATATCTCAGAGACAAGATTGAATAAACTAAAGTAAATGCCATTAATGTCAGTACAATAAAGCTATAAATTGATAGAATGACAAAAATACAAACAAATTAAAGTTTGAGGCATTAAATTGCTGAAATGCTATTAGATAAAACGAAGAATTAAAAAAATGGGGTTAATCTGAAGAAAGCATTCAGTTTTTGAAGAGCTGAATGATGATTCGCAAGTAACAAATTTTATGATTTTCGATGACATAAAAAAGCCCCATATAATGAAACGGTTTACACTCTAAAATTATTAATGATTAAGTTCCTATTTTGGATGCAATTGGGTATGTTATGTTTCTCGCACTGCTAATAAATTGTCGGATATAATTTCTCATATAAAGGTAAGATTGTTAAAGTACTTAGTCATTATAAAGTCTAAAATCGACCTCGCCAAAAGCTCATTTTATTTTTCAGGTATATATATTTTTTTTGCCATATGCCAATTATTTTCAACTTGTACAAAGGGCCCAGTGAAAGCTCTTTTCATCACTTAACGTCCATGGTCGTTCATCGTTCACAAGTTTAACAAAAATCTTCTCCTCTGAAACTACTCGGCCCTTGGGACCACCTTGGTCACAATCATCCTTGGGGTCTCTAGTTTAAACAGAAATGTCCTATCATCAAGCCGGACAACCAACATTGGCACCAAGGTTAAAATTGAACATAGGAGTAAAATGATTTTTTTATAGATATAGAAAATCTGGTTGGGTAAACATGTTCAAAATGTCAAGATCTACAAACTGTCTATTTTAATCAAAATTGTCAGACGCCTCAATATAGCAGTTTTAACCCTAAAATGACGATTATAACCATTTAAAGTGTTTTTTGTGGATTAGTTTAAAACTGTAACAGATAGACAGAAACTTTAAAAGCACAAATGATCTACAAGACAAGACGATTTTTTTTTCCCAATTGTTAATTTTTCCTTTTATGGATGGTGATGTTCCTTATGCACCATCTGACGGTGTTTATATTTCTCAACTGGTTTGCTATGCCCGTGTCTGTAGTGACGTTTTGGATTTCAATGAAAGTAATCTATGTATTACTAGCAAATGATTAAGTCAGGGATTTCGTTACCACAAATTACTTAAAACTTTTACTAAATAAAGGCAACAGTAGTATACCGTTTCAAAAGTCATAAATCGATTGAGAGAAAAAAAATCCGGGTTACAAACTAAAACCGAGGGAAACACATCAACTATAAGAGGAAAACAACGGAACAACAGAAGCACTGAAGTGCAACAAAAACAAACGCTAACATACATAGAAACGAACTATTTGATAACAACTGCCATATTCCTGACTTGGTTAAGGACATTTTAAGAAAAAATGGTAGGTTGAACCTGGTTTTATGGCTAGCCAAACCTCCCGCTTATATGGCAATGTTAAAAAATATCGCTAAAATGACAACACTACGTGACAGAAATACAGCACAAACAAACGCAAGAACACTCAGCACAGAGAAACACAAAAATAAATAATATAATAGTCGTTACAACATGTAAATCGCAGAATAACAACGGACATCACAACCGGTGGCGTATTTTTGTAACGAATATATCATCTTGAAATTCATATAATTATTTTCACAATACTAGTCCAAACAATTATATCATGACTATGACGGTATTGAAAGGCTATTTTAAATAAATGCTGTGACGACGTCATAATTATTTGGACCAACACAATACTATATCCATGGAAAATGGAAATTAACTCAACTATACTGATAAATAAGACATATGTGAAATGTACCGAAAATACAGAATTCAAACCACAAACGATAAGCCATAACACAATATCCAACCGAAACCACAACAGAAACATCATAAATAAATACATGAATGTTGGATGTATAAATACCGAGACACGTCGTATAGCAATGCAAATTCACACTCGGCAAAACAGTCATATTCGGGAATAGGTCACGTTCGGTACTTAGAAGAAAGACGACATAGATGTTAAACCATAATCTAAGACGTGGTATAAATGTCATGTGTTAGTTTAGACACAGACACATCGTATAGATCAACCAATTCGTTACGGAGTGTAATTTTTAATCTTTCCTCCTCATAACTCTGTTGGAGCAGTTTCTGCGTACGGAGCACACTCCTGTATATGAAGTCCGTACATGCACGAGCATAACGTATCAATTTAGATATGTAAACACCATAAGACGGAGCAGAGAGTATGTTACTGCTGAGAAATGGAAAATTGATAATTGGGAAGTTAAAGTCATCCCGTGTGTCATAGATTTTAGTTTGAAGTCGTCCATCTGTGTCAATTGTGAGGAAAAGATCAAGGTATGAAGCAGTCCTTCTAGTATCAGTAGTATCCTTAATTTCAAGTTCACTGGGATATATGAGATGCAAGCACTGACTGAAATATGGGTTATTCAGTGAATTCTTGCATAGGTACAAAGATTTGGTTTAAACGTTTGTCTGAACCGGGTAAATAAAGGCAACAGTAGTATACCGCTGTTCAATAGTCATAATTCGATTAAGCAAAAACAAATCCATGTAACAAACTAATACCGTGGGAAACACATCAACTATAAGAGGAAAACCAGGGTAAACTAATCGATCCTATAAATCAAATTATTCTAAAAGGTTACCAAATCAACACTGTAATTAGATCTTTAAATATTGTTTTTATTGGTATAGATATTGATTTTGTTATCAATAAATTAAAAACAAACTAATATTATTGTTATATACATATACATATGGACATTCACAGTTCTACAATCTATCTATACCTGTATTTTGGCAGTGCAACTGTTGAGAACTACGACACAACAGAAACACAACATTAAAATGTAACACACATAGAAACGAACTGTAATACTATAATAATAATGAACTACAACGTACTGGGAAATTATCTATATTTTTTCTCTTGAAACTTTGCCTCTCTATTCATTTGACTGTAAGCTTTCTACCTTATCTTACTTAAAATGCCCCTGTTGTTAAATGATTATATGACATGCAGTAATCTGTGGATCTATTATTGTAAAAGTGGCCTTTTCTTTTTCTTTCAATCCCGTTCAAGTCAAACAACATCCTGTACCACTTATTTTGGTAATATCTATAATTGGTGTTTTGTTCCAAGTTTCTTACGAATTTTAAAATTATGGCCTTTTTTACTTGAATAATTTCATCGTCTTATTATTTCAAAGTTTCACACGATACAATCAGAGATAGACAAAAACACTATAGCAAAATAGGCATACAATAAATACATTTTATCCTGAGCACCAGAAATTACTTACGGTTTTTGGTTGTTTTCGTGTTGCTTAGTATTAATTTTTCCATGTAAAGTTTTGAAGACTGTTTTATTTTATTTTCCTCATAATTTTAACTCCGCCCGAAGGGAAAAGTGGGCGGGGTAAACTGGTACTGGTACGTATGTCGGTTTGTTCGTCCGTGTGTCCGTTCGTCAGTCCATCAAAAATAAAATTGTCGCAGTTTTCTAAGGAACTACAAATCTGAGCTTCCTGAAATATGGAATCTAGTTTAATGTGAGAATGCCATACTGATTGATGCTTTTTTCAGAATCATTAACTTACGGTGTACCAAATACTTATATATTCTTACACATAATACCATGTATTCAATTTTGATTTATCTCAAGAACTACATGTACACCACTCATCAATTTCTTATATACCGAAAACTTATTTATTCTTACGCATAATGACTATGTATTCAATTTTGAATATTTTCAGGAACTACAAACCAGAGCTTCCTGAAATGTAGAACCAGATAATTTCTGCACATGAATTGGATGCTGACGTCTATCACTAAATTATGAATAGTATATTTTTAGTAATGCGCTTAAATGTTGTTTACGTGAAAAAGTTTAAAACTATATTAAAACTGTATCTTTTCATAATAGGTATTCACATTGACAAAAGATCGGACTATTATATATTGCTCCTAGACAGAAATGAACATTCGCTATCATTTAAAACACTGATTAAGCTCAAATTGCAAAATAAATCATGTATAAGGAATGCTTACTCTTGTACAGTTGTCATGCAATGCTGAACATAACAGAAAATAGTCTTTGAATAATTTTCCAGATTTATTAAACACTATTATCGGTATTTTTTACGACATTCAATGTTAGGTTTAATTTTCTACAATAAAGATTCAGTGAGGATAGACACTTTTGTAACCACTCTTAGGATTGAAACACTAAATGTTTGCATCTGCAAACATCATTTGTAGATGATGTCCGATGACTAATTAAAAGGTAAGTGACTGCTTATCAACTCGTTTATCCTTTATGATATAACGGATACGGCTCTCTGCTTTATTATCGACAGTGATGTCCAGTAACAAAACTAATCTAAAAGACAAAAAGAGATGACTGAGCTTTTGTTTTGCCGTCTTGAAGTTTTTTTATTTTTTATCTGGCTAAGGTTAATAAACAAAAATGATGTTATCATGTATATGGTATCTATTTCATTTTTATCTTACAATTGATATATATATATTTTCTTGCAGATAACGCTGATTCAAATAGTAGTGTGTATTTGAACTGCGGTCTGACTCCTCCAACTGGATATACGTATCATTGGGAAAAGAAGTTTGATTATTTATACAAGACTTTTGAAAAGTTGGACCAAGTTGACAAATATGAAAATGTAAACAGCAAAACGCTTAAGAATAAATTTCTAAGTTTTGATGACAGTACTTCCTATAGATGCTTGATCAAAATGAAATCCTGTTAATTATGGACAAGAGCTGGATGTAGTTGTGTATGGTAAGTATGTATTATATAGGTTATATATAGTAAATAAAGATTGGAACTGTTTGTAGTTTTTGTTTTGCGTTATACAAATATACATTTACACTACCATGTGATTTAAAAAGTAGAACTTAGTATCAGAGGCGAGTAACAAATAACGGTTGCTATTCTAAATTACCCACAGCTTGTTCGAAACCCGCGCTTCATCAAAATCTTTCTTCAACTGGTAAGTAGATGACGGCTGAAAGTTGACCTCTAGATGTCCTACAGTAAGTTCTGTCGTTGAGATGCTTCCCTAAATTTTTCTTTTATTTAGAAAAATAGATTCTTCCATATGATGTCTTTTTTTCACTTCTCTGTTTTTCAAATACGAAAGTATATGAGCTGGTACATGATAAGACAATATCATACAATGGCAACATGAAATTTTAAAAATAAAAACAGAAAATACTAAAAAAATCATTCCTAGGTCAGAAGTTTCATGTCATTTCTATTACTGTGAATTCTATTATCATTCGAGAGAATAAAAGAAAGGAGTAGGGACATTAAGGCCCGGTTTTGGGCCAAGAAAATAAAATGTTTGACAACTATACCAAACTGGCACATAATGTTTGGAAATGCATAGAGTCAAGAAATATAAATGAAAAACATAAGATTTTTTATCTGATGACGTCACAATTACGTCATAATATGTACCGTTTTCATGAAAATGACAAAAAATACAGAATTTAAGCAGTTTTCCATCGTTATTTCCATTGTTGAAACATCGTGCGCAGCCAAGAAACAACAAAATAATTAAAAAAAAGCTTTATTACAACTACTGACATAATCTCACCAAATATAAAGTTGATTTTTGAATGCACACATACTTTGCCAATCTGAAATATACTTAAAATTTGATGAAAAACAAGGAAAATCGCAAAATATATGAATTTCGTCATGGTTTGTTACTATGGTTACTCTTTAAATGTCAAATTTGTTTTTATTTTCTAAATACCTCGTACCTTAGTCTAGTAGGACAAATTTAAGAATATGTAGGATAACTTTTAAAGTTGCAGTAATATTTGGGCCAAATAAGGGCCTTATTGCATCTTCTCCTTTAAATAGGTTATTAATATATGATATTCCTTTTTTCAGAGAATTTGACACAGAATATAATGTACCGGCGACGAAATAAGGCTCGTTTTTTTCAAGTTTACTGTAATAATAATGTTTTGCACATATGTCATGTATATATTATACATTACTCTTGTCGCTTTGAAGATAAATCTTGTAGACATTAAGATACGGAGCACAGCTAATTGCAAAGCTTATCCGAGAGAAGTTTACCAACCAAAGAGCACAAGGAGATGTTTGACTCAAATGTCGAATGATGCGTGCAAAACATGCTTGAAAGGATGGAGTGGAAAGGATTGTGGGATACCACCGCATCCAAAGCATGTCAACGTAACTGAAAGAGCGAGCCATATTATATAGTCCAGGCTACAATAGTGAACCATGAGATAGACATGTTAAAACTAAAGATAGAAAACTCCCTTCCTTACACGGATGAGTTTATTGTCATTGAAGGAGATAAGACATTTGCATTAGAACCCAAAACATTTTATGTGAAAACCATGAGAAGAAATTATCGTCCTTGGTTAGATTACGTCAGCATCATGTTCATATAAAGACTACAAATAAACATTCTTGGGCGGTTCAAGACGAAATGCATTTATGCAATACTTCACTACATGATTTATACAATGACATACCTTTAAACTCCCTTGTTGTTTTTACAGATCTAGACGAAATTGTGCGTCCAGAAATACTTCATTTTCTTAAACACTACAATTGTTCTCCATATCCGACTGGAGTGGATTCGGATTCGTTTTTGTTTGGATTCTTTTTCCATGATTCACATAAAACAATTCGTGCTAGTTCTTTTGGAAATGTCTTTCAATCACTACTTTATATTCGTAGACAGCCAATAACATGGAATATTCCGAAAGGAGGATGGCATTGTAGTTGGTGTTTATCGATAGAAGGTATCCAGATTAAATCAAAGTCTTCGCCATATGTTGATTTACCACGCATTGCAGATAATCCGGAAATGATGAAACCATTTGTTATCTATGAGCATATCATTAACGGAAAATGGTTTCTTGGGAAAAATATTATTTCTAAGATTAAACCTCAAGACATTCCTATTAATACACCAATTTATTTGAGATCGTACGACTGGAGGATAAAACATCCCCCAAATAAGACTGCTTAATATAAAATAAAAGCTATATCTTATTTATATTTTGAATATTTCTTATGAAATCATATTGGTTCTGTTAGTTTTTTATTGGTGGTTCGAAATGCGTTAGATGTGGATGTGGTATTATAATTATTTCCATCCGTCTGTCCGTCCTTCCTTCCGTTAGTTCCGCTTCGTGTCAGGTCCGCTGCATAACTTTTGGTCCGTAAAACTTAGGTTAACCAAAGTTGGTATGCTGATACATCATGGGATGATATGCGTGTCATATATCAAAGTCATGTCTGATTTGTGTTAGGTTCATAACTTGTGAACTGTAGCACTGAGATTGACAAAACTTTGCAGAAGCATCATTCTGACCTTGACCTTGAACTTTACATTTAATTTCTGAATCTACAGTATTTGAACCTCAGAGTTTGTTCCTAGGTCGGTACAATCCTTTCATATTGACATATCAGTAACCACGTGTCAATCAAACACAGAGGCAATAATTATATCGAATGAATAACTGAAAACCACAAAACACGTCATTGTCTCGATACAAGTACGATTAGGACATTTACCGATTGTGTCCTACTCCAGATTAGTGAGTGGGTATTCTCATGGTGGGTGATGCTTGCATAACAGGAGACGATGTCCGTGTCGCCCTACCAGGTCCATTTGTAGATCGTACGTTTCCCTGAACTTTTGTTTTATTTCCTTGATGTGTATCTTTTTAGTGCTTGGATTTATGAGATTTAAACATCAGTAGATTATTGTGACCTCTAATTGAAACAGGTACAAAATGTGGTGGATGTTATATGATATAATAAAATCAAGGTTGGAAATTCCTCAAGCAAAAATGACCTTATAAATATAAGAAGATGTGGTATGATTGGCAAAGAGACAACTCTCCACCAGAGACTCAATGATGGTTTTGGCTATTTAGTGTAGTCCCTTTTCATGCTTTTATTCTTAAGTGTCGGTTTTGACAGTTATAGAAAATTTTGCTTAGGATATCATTTTGAAATTAAAAAAAAGAGTTAAAGTATGTACAACAAAACATGGCAAATGGAGTTTAACGTCAAGAAATGTGCCATCATGCAGTTTACAACATCAACTTAGAAGAGACTGTACCATTACCCAATGAAACATGAGCCATTAGAATTTGTACATTTCTATCCGTACCTATGCGTTGAGCTCAGTAACACCCTAAAGTATCACACATACATTGACAACATATGCAAGAGAGCTTTAAGTGTATTGGGTTTATGAAGAGGAACCTATTAAGACATTGTTCACCAAAGGTAAAAGAAAGAGCACCCAGATCAAACAGAAAGAGCAAGTACAGAGGAATGCTGGAAAATTTGTACAGAACTAACCATACAACCCAGAAAATCCAATCAGTGTAACATCAATGGTTCAAAACCTCAACTGGAACACACTGTAACAAAGAAATAACCATGGCAGATGTCACCCTCGCCACGTCCACTCTGTGTTTTGTTAGATGTATTTCCGTTTAGTATCGATTTAATGAGTTAAGCCCTTTTCAATTGATTTTTATAGTTTGTTCTTATGTTGTACTGTTACACCACTGTCCCATGTTAGGGGGAGGGTTGGCGCGCCTTCGAACTAGTTAAACCCTGCCACATGCTGTATGTGCCTGTCCCAATCAGGAGTCTGTAATTCAGTGGTTGTCATTTGCTGATTATGCGGTATGGGTTTTACTCATTGTTGAAGGCTATACGGTGACCTATTGTTGTTAATTTCTGTGTCATTTGGTCTCTTATGGACAGTTGTTTCGTTGGCAATCATACCACATCTTCTTATTTTTATAGTTTGAAATTCTTGTCATACCATTGTACAATCAACATATACCAACATTGATTTTATCCTAGAACATTTACCGTCTGGAAAACTCTGTCAGAGTTATTAGATGTTCAGTATTAATTTTTACGGTTAATGAAGTTGAAGTTGTTGTAAATAATCATCCTGTGACATAATTTTCAATTTGTTGAGGGCCTCTGTGCATCTTCAGCGATCAAGAGACTGTCAACACTGAGGTTGCGAGTTCGAACCCCGCTCGTGGCAGGTGCGTTCGATTCCAATCTGAATTTATTAGATTTGTTTTTCTGCAGAAGGTCGGTGGTTCTCTCGGATACTCCAACTTCTACTACCAATAAAAATTAGCCGCCACGAATGAGACAAGAATGCAAAAAGTGGTATAGTATACAAAACAAGGACATACTTTAGGCTCTATTGAGCTTTTAACCAACATATACTTTTTTTCCATACTTTGAGACCCTCCAACTGTGCTTACATTTACTTTGAACAGAATAAATTATTATAGTATTTTAAGAGTGCTAAACTCGAATTGTTACTCAAATGTCAACAGTTCTGTTAATGGCTAACAAGTGTTGAGTAGAACAAATGCAAAGAACATGATCTTGTCCTCGCACTCTCTTACATTTTTCTTACACATAACTAGCTCGCCTGCTTATTGTGAGGATAAAAGTTAATTTATTGAATAACAAGTGACTTCCCTTTTCTTTACATGAAACTCTAGGAGTAATATACAATGTATGTAATCACAATGAAGTGGAGACTTAACTGATAAATTAGGTACATGAAATTCACAATAGCAAAAAACACAAATAAATATATCAAATGTCACTATTTTAAACACATCGACTTCCTTGTTGATTTGAGCTTATGAAGACAATGACATAATTTTGAATATAATCATCATCTTCAGTGTGACAAGATTGTTTTCTTCAGCTGGTAAGTAAATGTAAACTATAGCCAGTGGCGGATCCAAGGAAGGAAGGGGGGGGGGGGGGGGGGGGATTATTATATGTTTTTCATGATTTATATGATTTTGAGCACTAAATACTAAATATTAAAAGACAGGGGCTAGATAAACTTTAATACGCCATTTTTGAATGGTTGATGCAAATAAGGGTTGTAACGGCCAGTTTAACCCCGTAAAAAGTGTATCTTCCTGTAGCATTGGACATCCCGGAGTTGAGGTTGAATAAACTTAAGTATATGCTATAGATTTAAGAACGATAAAACTATAAATTGATAGAATGACACAGTATCTCACAAATTAAAATTTGAGGCATTAAATTGCTGAAATGTAATTATATGAATCTGGAAAGCAGTCAGGTATTGAGGAGCTGAATGATGAGTCTCAAGTTACAATTTTTTTGATTTTTGATGACCTAAAAAAGTACCAAATAATGAAATCTTTCACACAGGCTGTGAAATATAACTGTATTATGTATTTTATTGTGTTTGTATTTTTTTTTTCTATTTGTATTAATAGTTTTTGGGGGCCTCAGGGAAGATTAACATGTCATTGTTAAATGAGTTACCTTCGTTAAATTAAGAGTTTTATTATTATTATTATTATCATTATTATTATTATTATTATCATTATTATTATTATTATTATCATTATTATTATTACTTTAATAAATTATTTATAATTAAGTTGCTATTTTGGATACAAACAAATACTTTATAAGAGTCTCGCTTCTTTTAAACATTTGATATAAAACACAATATGATAATAACAGATCAATTTATAAAAGAGCCACTATGAAAAGAGTTATGAGAGACTGTAAAACACACATTGCAAATACAATTATATTACATATATAACAAATATCAATATATCGTAGCATAAAACACCATATATTAAAAAGCAATTCTTTTGTAATCATAATTAGAAGATAAAAACAAAAACTATATACAGTTATTACGAGTATAAAATAGACTTTCTCTTAAAAAGTACTTCATGGCAGATTTTGGCTGTTAAATAGCAAACTCTGTTGTTTTGAAACATAAATTAAACAATCATACATGAACTTCTTCGGAAGAAAGAAAAGAAAATAGCAGTATCCTTTAACTTTACTTTTCGCTATATAGATGATGTTCTCTCACTAAATAATTCAAAATTTGGTGACTATGTTGAACGCATCTTTCCAATCGAACTTACGATAAAGGATACAACAGATACAATTAAGTCTGCCTCATATCTTGACTTACATCTAGAAATTGACAATGAGGGTCGGTTGAAAACAAAAATTAACGACAAGAAAGATGATTTCAGCTTCCCAATTGTGATTTTTCCATTTCTATGTAGCAACATTCCAGCAGCGCCTGCATACGGAGTATATATTTCCCAGCTGATACTATATTCCATGGCTTGCATTTCCTATCGTGATTTTCTTGATAGAGAGTTGCTACTCACAACGAAGCTATAAAACCAAGAGTTCCCATAGGTGGAGTTGAAATCATCCCTTCGTGAGTTTTACGGACGCCATCACGAGTTGGTTGACTGTTATGGAATATCCGTTTCACAGATGATAGCGGATATGTTCCTAATGTCGTATCTACAATACTGTCCCCTTTTTCCCGAATGTGACCAACCGAATTAGACTTATTACCGGGTTTGTACTAACATGAGCAACACGACGGGTGCCACATGTGGAGCAGGATCTGCTTACCCTTCCGCAGCACCTGAGATCACCAGTTTTTGTTTTTTTGACACAGAAAATCTTGTTGGGCAAACTTGTCCAAAATGTCAAGGTCAACATACTGTCTATTTTAATCAAAATTGTCAGACGCCTCCTTATATGAGTTTTTACCCAAAAATGACAATCATGACTATTTATGGTGGTTTTTGCGGATTAGTTGAAACTGTAACAAATAGCCAGAAACTTAAAAAAACATGAATGATCAAGAAGTCAAGATCATCAAATAAGTCAACATAACCGAAGTCATCAGTAGGTGTCATTGCCCCTAAATGATGAATTTTACAATATGTTTTCGCTTTTTGCCTACTATCATGAAAAATTTTAATAGACAGAGAGATAATTTATAGAAAAAAACAGGAGCAGCAGGACAAAAATAATTGAAAATGTCAGTCAACTATGTTTCCATATCTGTTACCGGCAAATGATCGTCTTACACATTTGATAGTGTTAGAAACACATGAGAACACGCTACATTTAGGTATTAATGTTACTCTAGCATACATACAACAAACTTT